CTTTTATTGGCCAAGAAAATAATAAGATTTATTTGATACCTTTTTCAAACATTCTTATCTTGCACCTAAAGAAGGAGATACAGCTTTTGATCAATAAAGGACAATTTTATTAAAGCCAAAATAATTTCAACTTTGAGTAATGAAATCAACATTGACTATTGATTCAACTTTTTTTAAATAAATTCAATCAAGTATGTCCTTTGATCCTCTTGTTAATGATATCAAGAGTACTTCTTCTAAGTCTTGTGATATTTCTAAGTTTGATTTCAAGAACAACCTACTTTATTTCAAAGGATGCCTATATATACTAGAAAGAAAAGCATGTTTACATATTATTTCAGCAACATGGCATTTTAGACATAAGAAGACTTTTAAGCTAATATCTAAAATTTTTGGTTGCCACAAATATAGAAGGCTGTAAAAGACTTTGTTCAATCATATGACATTTGTTCAAAGTCAAAAAAAATTTGGCATTGACCATTTAAAGGAAGTTCAAGAATGACAAAAGTTCAATGCGGATGCTTATCAAAAGGAACAACCATAATTTAATGTAGGTGACAAGGTATGATTACTTTATTATAATATCAAGACTACTCATCCTTATAATAAGTTAGACTACCAAAGGCTTGGACCTTTTCTTATTTGTGGACAAATCAATCCAATTGCTTATAGATTATATTTATTGGAGGCAATGAAGATCTATCTTGTCTTCCACAAATTTCTTCTTAAATCATATAAGACTATGAACATACCAAGAAGAAGACAAGTTCTACATCCTCCTATAGAAATGGACAATAATGAAGAATTCAAAATAGAAGAAGTTCTAGACTCAAGGTGTTGCCAAAATAAATTAGAATATCTTGTCTATTGGCACAAATATCATATTAGTAAATGCATATGGGAGCCACTAAAGAATCTTACAAATACAACAAAGGCGGTGGAGGCTTTTCATCAACGACATCCATCTAAATCAAGATAAAGAATATTAAATCTTTGCTATACAAGAAACAAGGTCTAAAGAAGATTGCATTCTACCTTCTATCTTTCTTTGAAGCTTTTGTATATTTGTGATGCTAAGGAGATGGAGAATCAACAACCAATAGTTTCTACTCAAGAGCTTTCATTTACAGACTTACCAAATGAGACATTGTGATTGTTTCGACCTTCTAAACAACAAAATTGATATGAAGATCTTCAAGAATGATATGTCCTACGTCAAATAAATAGCAAGATACAATGTCTTTGATATCACGACCTTAGAAGAGACTCTCAATGTTTGGTGATTTTATTAGATGTATTAACAATTCTTGATAATATTTTAAATATTTTTTTTTAAGGAAGTTATGAAAGCCTCAACAATGATCAAATAATAAGGTGGTCTTTTTGCTCTGATATAGGACTTTATCAATGGTTGAGAGAACGTATCAACTATCTTTGAAGAGAACAAAGATCAAAGTATGTGGCAAATATAATTCATTATATTTTGGATTTTTTCAACATATGAAAACTGCTCCTCATGGAACTCGTCCCTAGAAGAGAAGATAATGTCATCGATATACACATGTAAACTAAAAATTACCTATATAATTTAGATAATACTAGGTAAAAGTATGTTAATTCCATAATATCTTCTATAAAAGCTTCTTGGAGGTTGCTTTGATTTTATAGGTATCTATAATTATTTTTTTAGATTAGAAACCTGGTCAAAAAGTTGGCCATGTGCCACATATGTTGATAGCTTAAATAACAATCTAACTATGTGGTCCATACATAGAAAACTTACCTTCTAAGCTAAGGCATGTGTCCTGCAAAGTCAACACATATTAAAGGTCTTATAGAACATCGCCACATAGCTCCTAATTAGATAGTATATGTAGAAGTAAGAATAAAGCCCTCTTCACTCATATCAACTCTTTTTTTACTTCTAATCTAGATTTAAGAGTCTCTAGTTTCTTTGTCATTTAACAATAGTCATTTCAATTTCTTTTTAATATACATACTTCTTTATTTTTATTTTTCTAGTTTTTTTTTAACATAGATTTTCTAAATTTATATATTTTCTTCCAGTTCATGTCCTTGATACCTATCAATCAACTATAAATATATGTTAAGTCAAAATAATATCTATGTAGCTTCTAATAAGCTTGTTTAGAAGATGTTATAAAATTAATCTACTTTTATCTACTTTTACATAATCATATAGGTATTTATTAGAATACACATGTGTATCTATGAAAAAAAATAAGCCTTATGACTTTAAATTAATCTTGAAATTAAATCTCTAATCTCCATTTTCAATCTCCAAATTTTTCTATATTTTATCCTGAGTAGCCAATTTAGTGACTAAAGGTTTGATTTTGACCTTGTTTCACAAATGGTCGATCCTTGGGTATCAATTCAACCTATTTTAGGTGATCTATTATTATTTGAGGCAATTATTACTTATATGGTTCATAGTCCATGGTCCATATAGACCTTAAAATATGCAAGCTCTATGCATAAAAGATAAAATATGCCAAAAGATTATCAAAAAGTAATATCAATAGGTAGTAATGGATATCATCAATATCAAGAAAATATAATAGAAGAACTTTCAAAATTGAAAATCATATTATAAATAATTGAAATGTTGTTCCATATAATTCTATTATTAATAAAAAAATATAACTATTAAGATAAATATTATGATGTGGATTATTGATTTGTTGTAATGATGTGGATTATTGATTAATTCAAAATTATGGAATTGAAAGGCCAATGCAAATACATATATAATATTATGGACTATTTCTTCTTGATGAAATTCTTTAAGAATCAAACAAAACACTTGTTGATTTTCTATTAATGCCTTTATAGAAAAGGAAATAGAACAAAAATACTAAAATCAAATGTTTATAGAGCATATAGCATGAGATTTATCTTTGCTTTAATGGATAATAATCTTCAAAAGATATATTTTTTGGAAGGACCAGTAAGAATTAAAAAAATATTTGTCTACAATATAGCAACAATAAAGTTCTAAAGTGATGGATTTTTTTTTGTGTGTGTATTGCTTCTTTTAGAATTGCAGCACAATTTTTAAGTAAAAGATGGACTACACACCCTATGTTTAAAATTTTGCTCAATCTTCATGAAGATTCGTTTTGGAGTATTGCAAAGAATTCACCATATGCAAATGTGCTAAGAAAGGCAATTCTTATTATTTGGAATGGGGTACTAATGCAACATCACTTTTGTACTAAAGCTATTGATAGAATTCTTTGAGACATAAATGATACATAAGTTATTTGGCAAAATTACTATAGACTTTAATGGAGATTTTTGGAAAATTCTTCCTTATGTTGTAAAAGACTCAAGAAAAGAGATTATTGATGCTTCTTTGCAATGATCAAATATCTAGTCTAATATTAAAATATGCAAGTTAATCAAAAATATTCATTTAGAAGGTATTTCTAATAAAAATCAATTATTTGCTAAAAAACTTTTGTAGATATGTATTATATAAGATTGTTACTTTTAAAAGTTTTTTTGATGGTATAATGTTTATTTTTAAAATATCTAATATTATTTTTTATTTTTTAGATTGAAAATGGATCAACAATTGTAGATCCATTAAAAAGTATCATGATTCTTCTAGAATATATAAAAATAGGTCCAACATCAACTAATTTGATTAAATTTGTTTATTTGAGATTAGATGATAATGGGACACTTGGAGATGATTATTTCACTAACAAGCCTATTTTATCTACTCAAAATTATGATCTTGATGATTTAAACAAGCATGCTATGCAATGACTTCTTAGTGCATACATAGCAATTATGGATGATAGTATTGATAATGGTAATTATCATCCAACCGAGTATTTGAGTAGTCTAAATCCATCTGTATTGTGACCATTTAGCTTAGAACTCAACATTGGATGTCCTATTATACTATTACAAAACATTGCTGAATGTCAAGGACTTTGCAATGGATTACAATTGATCATTACATAATTGACTAATCAAATTATAGAGCCAAGATTTTTATCTAGAAACTACAAAAGACAATTGGCATTTCTTCCAAAGATCATATTATATCTATTATTTGAAGAGATTCTATTCAAATTGCAATGAGGGCAATTTTCAATAAGGGTGGGATTTGCAATGACCATTAACAAATCTCAAAGACAATCATTGAAGAATATAGGAATAGATCTTAGAGTCTCCGAATTTGCACATATACAATTATATATTGCCCTATCATGATGCACTTCTCTGAATATGATGAAGATCTTATATCCAAAAATAATGAAGACAAAAATACTACTATAAATGTAATTTATTTGGAAGTTCTTTTAATTTATTTATTTTAGCTATTGTTTATATGAAATTTGAAAATTTACATTTGTAAATTTAAATGAAGAAACATTAATTGTTCTATTCTAATTCATATATTCTTTTTCTTATATTTTTTTAAGAGTAGTCACTTTTTGACTTGAAAACCACAAATTAAGATTTTACAACTTTTTTGTGGCCAGCAGCATGGATTTCAACTAATAAAAAAATCTAATAAATTTCTAATAATTAATAAATTAAAAAATTACAATCTTTTAAGAATTATGATCTTCACTTCTATGACTTCTTGATACTATATTGCACTTGAGGGTTTGTACCTTTACAAATTGACCCATTTGTAAGTGAACTTAGTACTAATGTATAGATTTTATTTACTTATTGTCTATACAATATTGTCTTATGCATTTTATTTTGGAACTTTTTCGTGGCCAGCTGCACTGGTTTCCACTAGTATATATATATATATATATATATATACATATATAGTCACAGACATGACTAATACGTATCAAGCCTACGGCGACCGTCGCCACGCGCGCCGGAAGCGCGTGCGAGGCATGGCATGGCTTCAGCCTACTACGAGTTCCACTCCGCGGCGCCGATACTCACGCCGCTGCGACATCGTCACAAGAGCCCGTAGAACCAGAAGCAGTTGAGCTTTGTAGGCGGGGTGGGTTTTTCGCAAGGATCGCGCGAAGTAGGTGGGAAGCCCCCTCGGGGTTTGGTGACGGGACAGGGCGTTCTCGAGGCGGGACCCGACGAGAGTTTCCAGTGACGAGTCACCAACGCCGGTGTCACCAGCTTAAGCTTTTCCCCTGGAGTAGCTCGAGCTCCCTGCGGAGCTGGATTGAGCTCCAACTGGAACTCCATGGTTGGGGACTTTCGTGGCATCCAGATCATTGTTCGACGATGGGCTTTGACATTTTCGATTCGAAGGAACCTTCCTGGGCTTGATTCTCTCCCTTTGTTGCTCACTTCAGTGCGTCGTGAGAGGCGAGGGAGGAGACCGTCGTTTGCAAATTGCATTCCAGAGTGTGAATTTCGTGCGCTTCAGCTCTTGCTGGGTAGGAGATTTTTCATATTTATTTTTTGAACTTTTCTATTTGTTTGAGTTCGTTGTGGTAGTTTTATAAATTGGACGGAGGGGTTTGTCGGTGCGGAGCTGACCAGGAAAAGCTGGGAGTGATTTTCTGGGACGAGATGGTGATGGAAGAGCAAACCGCCTTCCGGATGTAGCCGGCGAATTTTGACTTCGGGACAAGATCGACGTCGGTGAAGTGCGCACTTGTAAGCCCTGAACTGCGATTGGACTATTCGTGCCATGGTTTGGAATTGGCAAGGTATTCGAGGGTCTTTTTTTGAAAATATCAGGTTTCTCCTTTGCATTCCAGTACTTGAATTTTAGAATTGTCGGCCAATCACTCTCTAACCGATGCCTTAGAAGCAGAGTTTAGCTTTACGAGGAGATGTACTCCCCATGATGTTTCAGAATTGTCTCGATCCTGATCCAATATTGGGTTCTGCTGAGTAGTTGTTATGAAGTAATAAAACATCATGTAGACCAAGCTCTTTGTTAAGGCAGTTGCAGTACGATAGTTTCTTACTTTCAAGAGATTGTAAAATGTGTGTTAGGCCAACCATTCCGTGGCCAAATGAATACTTTCATATTGTATCGATATTTCATCTCTTTCGTTCCAGTTATGACTTCAGGTACCCAACCCTGATACTACCAAGGCGGAAGGGCCTACGACAGCGTCGCTTCGGTGCTATCTTAATGAAGCCGGAAGTTCACCCCGCCATTTGACACAAATGAGTGGAATCAGACACGAATTCGAATTCGAATTTTTCGACACTGAGGCCAGGACGGTGATCAGGACAAAGAACGGCTATAATGACTTGTAAATTAAAGATGATGAGCGTGCGAGATGTTGGATTGCTCTTTGCTGTGACAATCTTTGCTTACGTGTTGGGAGTTCTCACAGCCCCATCATTCCTTTTTCTGTCTGCAACCAAAACTTCGCCGTATGATGTTTCGAAAACGCAAAATGATTCATCTCCTGTCTCACAACCGCCACTCCTAAGCTCTTTGCAAACATCTCCACTCCATCAGCTACAACAAGGGAGACAGAACAATAAGGACTGCAGGAATCAGCCATTGCCTGGGTACAGGATGCTCCCCACGGACCTCATCACGTTTAACCACGAGTGCAAGGCGGAGGCGATGCCTGCAGATATGATCCGAAGCTTTCTAATCAAGGAGCTCTTTGACGGCGTGTCCCCATACGAACATTTTCCACCGAAACATGTGGCAGCTCTTCTCCAGAAGGAACGGATCAGAGGATGGGGCTCCACAACGACTGTGTTTCGTCGTCTTATGGAGGAAGTAAAGCCTAAGGTTGTGATAGAGTTGGGGAGTTTTCTCGGCGCTTCGGCAACACATTTAGGCGCCATAGCAAAGGAATTAGGGCTCCAGACTGACATCTTCTGCTTCGACGATTTCCGTGGGTGGCCTGGGTTCCGCAGCGGCCCATTCGCCGACATCAAGCAGCAGAATGGAAATGCAATGCTCATGAATCAGTTCATACAAAATGTGATCTATACAAACTTGACGGAATCTATTCTGCCGGTCCCGTTTGCGACCGTGGCGTCGCTGTCAAGCTTCTGCAAGTGGGGACTTTATGCGGATTTGATAGAAGTGGATGCATCCCATGATTTTCATTCGGCGTGGTCGGATATCAACATTGCCTACAGGTTGCTACGGCCAGGCGGGGTGATGTTCGGACACGACTATTTCACCGCAGCGGATAAACGAGGAGTTCGGCGAGCTGTGAACTTGTTTGCGAGCATGAACAATCTGCGAGTGGAGCCAGACGGACAGCATTGGATTTACAGAAGACTAAAAGAAGTGTAGAAACTGATCAATTCCAAACTCAACTGTTACGTGTGCAGCTCAATTAAGCAAATCAATATGAAAAGTCTTGAACAGATCATCGACATGAATTCCCAGTCGGAGTGTGTACACGAGATCGTTCACCTGACGTTGCATTGTGCGCATTTAACTCATCTCATGCTGTTCAATGGTTTGCCAATCCTTAGCTTGCTAGTCCACCCACGAAGCCACGTCTGACTGAAATTGAAGCAAAACCTTCAGATAAAAGCTAATGTTTCCATGCAAAACATAAACCCTGAAAAATAGATCATGCGACAAAAACGAGGACAGATTTTACAAAAGTCAAACCTTTGGCCACTCAGCTAATGTCTCGGCACCGTCCAACGCTTCCTGAAGGAATCCGGCTCGTTTCCTTCAATTCTGGACGTGCATTCGGTGGCCCTGCTCGTGGGCCATCGTGACGTGGCGCCAGCCGCCACAAACGCAAAGTGCACCCACAATGGGCGACTCAAAACATGCTTATAAAAATGGGTGTTGATATCATTGACCCATAACACAAACTTTCTGCACAAGACATACTTATTAAATGGGCAGTGATATCATCAATACACACACATGCAATCTTCTTAGAAACATACTTATAAATTAAAAATTAGATGTTGATACCAATCTGACTGCAGAGGTGGTGGTTATTACTTTAGTATTTATGTTTTATGATTTTATAATAACTTGTTCCTTTTGATTAGTTGATGATGATGTTCTTTTTAATATAATGTTCTGTTGTGGTAGTTTTATGGATTTATGAGAAACTTCAATAGGAAATTGAGATTAGATGATGACTGAATTTTTATATAATTTATATAAATATACTATCAAAATATTCAGTGTTAGTTTAAGTGTTATGTATTTCTACTAAAACATTCTAAATTCTAAATCATAATTTAAATAGGCAATATATAAATTAATGTGATTTTAACAAGGTATATTTAATTTGCAATTAATAAATAAAGTGCAGAATTTACTCACTGTGTCCACTCAAAATCTTGTGAGAAATACTCTCAATGAATAATTAATATTTATAGATGCATTTAATTTATTCATATTCTTATTCAATTTTGTTTTTGTATTATTATATTCTTTTGAGAGAAGTATAATCTTTGATGATGCACACGAAATATGTGAACACATGTCACAAGACAAAGATATAAGCATAAAAGAATTCAATCAACTAAAACAGATGTTTTCAAAGTTAAAGTTTATTATTATTTTACTGAATAGCGTCTGCAAACTGATGAGATTTTACTACAAAACATGCTGTTGGTATATTGCTTACTAATTTACATAATTTGTACTTAAATACAGTCTATTAAAACATTGGAATTCTTTCCTACATCTGAATCGTTCACAAGATATTTTGAAACACAATCTGAAATAATCCAAAACTATTTTTGAAATTCATTCCTAGAAAGCAGTGCAAATTATCATTGAACCAAAAAATGTAAAAAAGCTTCTAATCCTAATTCATTCTAGACAATTTATCTACCAAGGGTTATAAATAAGGACCCAAGAATACATCACTCATCAAATTCCAAATTCTGAATGGCACAAAACCAGCATAAAACAAAAACATTTCTCATGCAAAAAAAGTACTATTCTGGCAAAAGCATTCAGTTTTTTTCAGCAACAAAGATCCAACATGAAATAAGGAATTGAATAAAAATAAAAATAGCCTGGTCATGATTCCATTAATTCTGTTAAACCAAAGAGTTATATCATCATATTATTTTCTCTGGATATATTCATAACAAATATGAGTTGGAACTTCATGCCAAAGTTGAGGCTTTTCAATAGGGTTTTGAAGATTTGGGATATGGTATGATATTGTCTTCACAAAGGGTCCAATTTGAAGCCAAATTGGGGTGAGTGGGCAGGTGGGTTTTGACACCTTGCCTCTAAATTTGTCTCCATATCCATCATAGTTGCAATCTTGAATCCAAGGCCCTGCAATATCAACACCATGCCACTACACTATTGTAGTGGCCCCAATTGGTGCCATGTTCTCTCTCTCACTCACATGTGTTCTCTTGTTCCCTTGCTCTAGTTCCCTTGTTCTATTTGAGAGTGAGAGTGAGTGTGAATGTGTGTGACAAGGGGAGCTCAAGCTGGAAATGTGCCACTTGGCTCCAATGGGGGTGCAAGCACAATAGCCTCCACTTCCCTTTCTTATTTAGGACTTAGCACTAAAATCATGCACAATTGGTCAAACTCATGTGGATCAAACATGTTATTTGGAGGTGCCCATGCTGCTGCCCAGAACAAACAAAAGAATATCATAAAATCACTTTTCATAACATTTTTACTACTTCTACCAGTTTTATGTCTCAAGGATGTCATGTGAGACTCATTTGGTTTAGGGTGAATTGTTGAGGTTGGGCTTAAGTCCTCAAATGTGTATATGTATATATATATATATATAAATATCTATTTCCTCCCACTCCAAAACAAGTGTCAATTAGAATGAAAATGGCCGAGAGATAAAAATAAGTAAATCAACACTGTACAATCATTTTCCGGATATTCTCATCAATCACCTTGGTGACAGTGGCAAAATGCAATATAATACTACAAAACAAATGAGAAAAAAATAAATTAATGGCAATCTCGTGTTGAATTGTATTATTATAAGTGGAGTTCAAACAGAATCATTGCTTGATTGCAGAAGCCTCACATTTGTTGTCAGAGCTGTGTTTCAATTAATGTGGTCTCAAGGTCACAGTCATATTGCAATAGTAAGGGGGTTCATGCAATTACATAACGAAGGTTTATATTAAATCAAGAGCCTCTATGTACTCAGTTGAGAATCTTTTGCACAGAGGATTCCAAAAATGAAAAAAGGATTAAAAATCAAAATGAAGTCAACACACAAGCACCTCAACGAAGAAAAAGTCAAGGCAAAACTCTCCACTTTGAGGAAAACTATTACAATACTGGAAAAGAAAACAACCTAGTGTAGCTATACCACTCTACAATCTCCAAAAACTATGTAAAATTGTTAAAGACATTCTCCATTTCCACATTTTTTTCACACAATCTTTTAACTTATTTTCCCCCTCCTTTATAGCTGATTTAACATGATCCAAAACTACCAAAAAACGACACATAGTTGCACCAAATGAGTTGGTGGTCCAAATTACAGACAAATAACCTCAACCATGCATGCTAAAAAAAAAAAAAAAAAAAAAAAAAAACCCCACACCCTTATTATTTCTAATATACAAAAAACCATATATATATATATATACATATAACTGAAGAATTGTATATGTTGATATATATAAGCTCCAACAACCAAAGAAAAAAGTGACAAAAGTTTAAAACGAACTTAACCTACCAAAGAACAGAAGGTTGCACTGAAAAGACGCAAAACAGCATCAGTGAGTTGAATCCCAGCTGTAAAATCTTAACCAAGGCCGATTACCCATAGCACAAGTTCACTCCCTGCTATCTCCAAAGCATCGAAACATGAAGCAAAAAAAATAAAATAACAGGGGGAGTGAAGTGGAACCACGGCCACTAGGGCATTGCACCTCGTGGTGCATGCGGGACCAGCTCCGCCCTCCCCCCGCCCCCAGCCCAGGCAGGCGCCACGGCGTCTTCTAACCCTAGCTTGCTATTCCCCTCTGGCTCCGCACTCCGCCTGGGCGACCATTGCAGTGGTGCCCACTTGCAATGATCTCCCCGTCCGCACCCACTTGAACTGTCAGCTTCAGCGAGAGAGCATTTTTCCGCTCTGTTCGTATGCCCAGCGCTGGAAAGCCTGCCTGCGCGACGCCTGAACCAGGAGACGATGCTTTATGCATATAAGGACCATACCATTCATTCCCATGTAGGGAGCGTCATCTGAGTTGTGGTTCGATCAAGTAAGTCCTTGTGGTGGTTCAATTTGCGAAGGGTCGGGAGAGTCGACGTGAAAGTGCAGGTGGTTGCGTGGAATCGGATTGCTTGCGCAGGTCTGGCTAGGAACTGGTGTCTGATTGACAGGGGCGGTGCAGAATTTTTTGTGTGTCGCAAAGGCCTGTTGTGGCGTGGGTTCGGAATGTGGTTTGGTGATCGGCGGCGGAGCGGGTGTGGGTTCAGCGGTTCTGTTTTTGTAGCGTAGGATTGCGCATTCGCTGGCATTTGAAGAGCGTGCTGGAACAGGTGGTGTTGTGATAGACGGTTACTCTGACTTCTAGTTTGTAGCCTAGACAGCCCTCCGTCGCTTTGAGAGAATTTGCGAAAAGAAACTTGCCGACCCGTGGTGGTGCCTGCCACGGACATCTCCTCTATCTGCGACAGAATCTTAGTTCGACTGCGAGAATTGGAGTCGTCCCGTTCCGTTGTTCCAAGGAAAGTAGTGGGGAGCCGCTCCTGCACTAGTACCCAGAGAGAAATAGAATTGAAATAGGCGCTGTTCTCGTGCACAATGTCATCGGACTCATCTCTGCTGACCACAGCAGCGAGTGATACATCCAGCTCCGCCGATAGCCGCTACGTCAGTAGTGGTGCACATTACAGTAGCGCTCGTCGAGGATACATCATCGACACTGCTCGGGAAGTGTCGACATCCTTCCCTGCAGTGCAATGGTCCTCTCCTCCGCTGCAATCCTGCCCAGCCCGATCCTCCCGGCGGCGATCGTACAACCTAAAGGCGCGTGGGGTGGTCATCGCCAAGGACACCTCAAGCGGTGGCAACCAGAAGGTTTTTTGCGTGTGCAAGGGCTGCAAAGGCCAGAGAATTGTCAGCAAGTCGACCTGCTACCGGCACCTGAGACTCGAAGCCGAGGTGGAAGGTGAAGATGTCAATTGGGACGCGCAATGGGGCACCCACCACGTTGATGGCTTGTCGCATGAGGAGGCTCTTCGTATGCACGAGTTCATCCACTCAACCGGTTTACGTCTCGGTTTTTGAGCTTCCTCTGAAACCATTGTCGCAATTGAGATGCCAAGAAGTTGAGAATCGATCATCTCCTCGTCGAGCACGCGTAGACTCTAATTTTGTCTTCCAGTAAGTCATCGATCTACTTCACTGGCACAAGTTCGTGCCCCAGTAGAAGCATGGCAACATTTTTGGAGTCGATACGAGACTTTTAGCAAGAGTGTAGAAATTCCACATAGTTTACTGGACGGAAACCCGTTTTTTTTTTTTTTTTTTTTTTTTTTTTTTCTTCTTCTGTTGCGATTATTCAGAGATAGAAGATCGTGTGCATTTACGGCAACAACCAATCTCAGGATCCAATCATCTCTGGCTCTGAAAATTTCCTTGCAACCAGTTCATGTTCTCGTCGAGGTTATGGCAAAGCTCTACTCCTGTGGCAAGAAACGACTCTTTATTTAGACAGATTTTTGACAGAGATCATCGCATCATCCAGCATACATTTGTCACATGTAAATTCTGCACTTTATAACAATAGGAATCGGATATGTCTACTGCTGCATGTGGTTCTTCCTGCGTGTATTCTCAATGGGTGACTTGCCTTGTTCATACAGTAAACCCAAACTTTGATCATGCAAGAGGATTTGATCATCAAAAGGTATTGTACAATGAAGGGTACTTGAGTTCGACCTCGCCGTCATCTAACTTCTGCTCCACTTTCTTCTCTTAATAGTTTCAAATACCACTTGGTAGGCAAAAGCAACACCTCACACACTTAAAACCCCGTTTAAATCCTTCTGAAGCCAGAGCCAAACAAGTGCGCACAACGCAAAGTACTCAAAATACACAGGCCAACCCTTGAGATAAAGTTTGGGACTAGGGCGAGGGCTAAGAGTGCGGAGAGTTAAACATTCCATCAAGACAAGTGTCCTCTGTAGAATAATATGTGACATAGCTAGCAGCGATTGAATACGCACATGTACCAGTGTACTGAACGATCGGCATGGTGGAATTAATGCAAATGTGTAGAGGTGTTGTGCCACCGGTAGAGGCCACCCTTGCAGATCACGCCGTCTTCGATTTTAATCGAAATGGAGAGAAGGCCACGCCCCTTGTTCGAGATTGCTGATCTCGCACAGCCACTTTGCTCTTCAATTTTTCACTCCCCCCCCCCCCCCCCAACCCAATTTACACCGAAGTGAATGTGTTGCGTGACCGCCATCCGCACAGTGAAAACACGGAGCGCATGTCGTGTCTACTACTTGCAAGCAACGCCATGATTCTCCCATTCAACTGCTTGCGAAGGCTTTTCAAAAATTTATTCTGTGAGCCTACAATGACTTTAATTACCACAGGATGACAGGTTGGTATCAACAGGGTTGTGGGTTAAATTTTAGGTGTAAAATCTTTAACAGTGATTTTACATAATAATAATAACGATAATAATAATTAAAACCAAGTTTGTATCAATAGGGTTATGGTTGAGCTTGTTTTTAGCTTATTAATTGAAAGATGTAAAATTTTTGAGTCAAAATCTGTGGTTACATTATCAATTATTGAGGTTTCAATCTTCTTTATATGGTTAATTAAGAGTTTGTTTAGGGTTTAAGATTTGATTAGGATTTGGTTGAGGGTTTAGGATTTTACTAGGGTTTGGTTAAGGTTTCATTGGTTTGTTTAGGGTTATATTGAGGTTTGATTAAGGTTTATTTAAGATTTTTATTTTTAATATTTCTTTAATATTTTTTGAAGGTTTTTATTTTATTATTTTTTAGTATTATTTTATTATTTTTTATGATTTTTTTAGATATATATTTTTAAAGATTAATTTGTGATTTCTTTATATTTTTTTGTAATTTCTTCAAGACTTCTTATGGATTTGATTAAAATTTGATTAATATTATTAAGATTTAATAGGAATTTGTTTAGAATTTCATTAGAGTTGTTAGGACCTTATTGTTGCAATTTTTATTTTTACCTTCTACAACTAGGTGCCTAATATATTCTCATGCAAACTTCATAGAATACAAATATGTTTTGGCCAACTAGGAGTTGCTATGTAAGCATAGAGGAATCCACTTGTTTGGTCCTCTTATTCAAACCAAGGCCATATAAACAAACCAATGTGCTTGAAGAAGAAGACTAGTATTGAGTTTGGATTCTACTATTGCAATAACAAAAAAAAAAAAAAAAAAAAAAAAAACATTGATAATTGGATTTTTTTTTAGTATTGGCTTAAATATAACAGCTCCAAAACAAAAGTTGCCAACTATGATATTCTTCTCATTTTTTACAACCCATTGCCACACATACTCAAGAATGTTGCCCTTATAAATATTAAAATTTTATTCTTGCCTCCATACACCACCTAAAAAAATATAGCCTATGGATGCTGGAATTATTGCTAGCTTAAAATGGTGCAACACAAGCTTCCACCTTCAATGTTGTCTTAACTATAAAGAAAATAAGTCATACACCAACATCTAAAAAGTGCACCAACTTTAAGCAATAAGATGGATTAGAATAGTATAGAATGATATTTCTTTTAATACAATCTCTAATCACTAGAAATACACAAATATCTTGTCACCTTGCAAAATATAAAGACTACCAACCTATTGTAGAAGACATCTCACATGATGTATCCTAAAATGAAGACAAGCCATCTGATTTTAATGTATCCGAGAAGGAACTTGTATTGGAAGAAGAATTTATTTGCCAAATGATTACTTTTAGAGTGAGGAACCTCATGTCTATTGACACTTTTTTGAACCTAGAAGGTTGGAAAGAGATTTATCATGAGCTCACGACGAAGAGCTTCTTGAATCGACTATTGTTATTAAAGTGGAAATGCTGGAAGAAGGAGAAGAAATAGAAGCACAAAGACCCCAACTTAGCTTGGATGTCTAGTCTTCGGTGTTGAGAGATACTATCAAAATGTGAAAATGATACAAAGTTAGGTCTCTAAAGAAACAAATGTTGAGGAGCAGGGTTGCTTGATTTAGAGGTCTTTAGGCAACTTCTTCTTTCCGTGCTGGCCTTAAGTTTTGTAACAAATCAATGTGGAAAGTTCAATTTTTTGTAGGAATGAGAAAACTTAGTAATTTTGCACTTTAAAAATCCAATTTTTTCTAATGCATTTATTAAACATCAAGTATTAGAGATCATTGGTTGTTAATCAGGAAATCAAGTTAGTAGATTGAAATTGTACCAACTATTGCAGCATATCAGATATAACAACTCCCGATTTGACTGTACATTTAGAAGTGCTATGACAAAAAAAAAAAAAAAAAAAAAAAAAAAAAACAAACCCTTAGAAGCACTCTATTTAAATTTGATGAGATTCATTACAAAATTATAATATAATTATAATATCACAATAAAACATGTAATTACTAGACATATATTTTTGAACACCATACTTAATGTTTAATTAGATTAAATCACAATGACTTAAAAATACACAAACAATAGCCTTTTTCATTGAACAACTACGCACTAGAATGCTGAATCCATTTTTGGTAACAAACCTAAATTTATTCTGTTCAGAATTTATTCAATTTTTACAAATCCAATCAAATTGTAAGATCATGGTATCAAAAAATATAAAAAACATAACAAAACAGTAATCTGCTTCAAATATTATGCAATTAAAGCTTGCAGTGACAAACCACCTAACAAAGTGGTCTGCAAAAGGAACCGTCATGTAAATAAACAAACAAAAAAATATGTATTTTTAGAAAATCCACGTTGTTCATTCTAAGCCTTCAAAATCCTCTACAAAGGGAGTATGGAAATTTCAAAAACCTAGAGACGCTGCCTCGTGATCTCCGTCAGCGCACAAGTTTCGAAGCTTACGTGGGATTCCCTCGCTGCCGCCGCTGCTCTCGGCGACTCGCCGGCCATGCAAAAATTTCCCTGCCTCAATGGAACGCATCGGAGCTGCTTCGCTCCGAAACATGAAATGCTCGCGGATCGCGGACGATGTGTGTATGCCCTGAATCTCATGCATCATCGAAGAGGAAAAGAGGCGATGAAGGTCGGCAATGGAGGCTTGAAGCTAGTAGGTCGATGAGGGTTCGTTTCCCCTGTTTGAGATGGGCGCCCACGAACTCGCATCTCATCACCGTTCTACCCTGTGCACCACCCTTCGCACCGAACTGTGTTGCAAGTCATCAAATCCGGAGCGAGACCCAATGCCGCAGCGCTGCGCCAAATTTAGAAGTAGAATATTGTAGTGGGTCCCAAAACCCTTAGCCAGAAAAGCAAACCAGAATGCGAACCAGGGCTGTGTGTAGGGGAGTCACTAGAGAAGCGTGACAACCAGTGAAGCAAGCATTCACGCGAGGGGAGTAGAGAGAGTATTGTGGCGGGAGGGAGGCTCGTGTACTCTTCTCCTCGCCTTACCTGATACCACTCTGCCCTTTTTGATTGTGTGTCGTCGGGTGGCAAGAGGCTTCGGACCGAGGAATTGGAGATCCTGTGAGCCATTTGCAGGAATTTTGTAGGTTGTATATCGTCGTCATGACTACTCCGCTGCACATCACATGCCACTATGATCTCAAGTAAGCGTGAGCAGATTTGATTAGTGGCTTGGATATGGTTGGAACGGTATTACTGTGCTGAGTAGCGATTGTTGTCATAGGGAATTTTGGGTTTGTTGGTTGATGGTCGATTGTTTGATGGCCAAGGTTTTGGTGAGCTAAGTGGTGGTGGTTGTAGGGAGGGGGAGGGAGGTTTCGTCGTCAAATTGACCTGAGTGCGTTGCCTGATTAACAATTTTTGGTTTAGAAATCGCGTGAGGTGCTTGTTTGTTTTGTTTTGTTTTTTTGTTTTTTTTCCCTCCCTCTCTCTTCTTTTGGGTACAGTAAGTTCCCTTTGTGCGTAATTGGAGAGTTTGGCAGTAGATTTTCGAGCGTTGGGTTCAGAAACTTGGAGCAGATTCTTCTTTATGTGTCAGTATTCTTGTCTGATTATCGTGCGGGTGGTGGAACCCTGTAAGGCTTTTGTTGTTTGAGCTGAAGACCTCACGAGCTAGTTTTAGGGCTTAGTTTATTGGACGAGGATGAAACTCTTGGTCATCGTGTCTTGAATCCATCCGCTTGTTTGTCGATGCTTGCGGCCGTTGAATATGGCAGTGGTGTCCCTACCTTACGATCGGTTGCCTTTAAATCTCAGGTGCTAAGAGATTTATTCATGAAGTTTTGTATCTTGAACGCCTTTTACGAGCTCCACTAGACCTGAAATATCATCCGCTTTTAAAATGTTTGAAGAGCAGCAGCGGCTCTTGCAAGGATATGAGAGCATTTTGCGCTCCCTTCTTTGTGTTCATAGAGGTGAAGTTGTTCTCTAGTTGAGGTCGCTGGAATTCATAGCTTGCTCTCATCCCACTACACTTCGAATAAATTTTATTACATGTATTTGTGGAGGGCTGGGAATCTAATGATCATCATCTCGGCCAGTTGGATTTAAGTACTCTGTACATCAGCAGTTTTCTCTTGACTTAGTAGAAGGGAAACCAAGGTTTTCATAATTAATTAAGTCTCAGCTGTTAAATAAACTCTCCGTATTTAACAATTTATCAAAGGAATAGTAGTAGGGGTTAATTCACGTATGCTGTTTGTTGAAAATGAGAAATGGCGGAACGCTTTGTAGTTTGCTAGTCTGGTAATGTTCATCGAAGGTGGTCTGACTTCCCCACATTTGTGCATGCCGTCCTCAGGGCATGGGTCAAGAAATATAGGCGATCGCTGCTGATTGCAGCTGGACTGGTGGGAGGAGGGACAGCAATTTATTATGGAGTCCAATATTTAGGGTTGGATTCACAATCACGAAAAGAAAGAGATGCCGCACGAGTTGCACTAGTGCAGAAGGAAGCGGAAGAACGTGCCGAAGTGCAGTACGCTCACTGAACTGTATCTGGATGCCCTTATATGTTTCTGTTGCATTTCTTGTGTGGCAAACATCGAAACATGTAGATATTTGACAAAAATGGTACAACCGGACTTTATCGGTTGTCAGGCGCCCGTAATAACTTAAGGATTAGGACGATTGTTTGGTGGCTGCATACTACAGGCACGTAATTTAAATTTGTCTTTGCTATGTACATAGAATTGTAGCACTGAACTTGATTGGTTCCAGGTTGCAGAGTCATTTTGAGGGCATTCAGAGGATATCAGATTCTACAACATTACCTTCAGTGTTACCACACCTGAAAGCTAGCCTGTACTCTAAGGTTGACCTGGAAGGATTAACTGACAAACTGATGTTATGCAAAGTGGATCCGCAATTGTTGAGTCACAGGGATAAGATGCAGCTGTGGCAAGAACTGAAGACTCGAAGTGAGTTTTAATTCCCACATTATGTTGTGCCTCCTATGAGCCTTTCAATGGTTGTGTTTGCATTTTTACAAATAAGCAAGGGTGGGAGCCCTAGCACTAAACTTTAGCACTAAACTTATCTGGGAACCACGGTTTAGTTTTCCAGCTTACGTCAAGAGGTTAATTACTTTCCTAGTATCGTTTCGGTTTTTGCAGGTAATTAAGTTTTCTTTTTCTTCTTGGAATGACTATTGCGGACACTGTATCTTTCTACAAACTTTCGACTTACGCCATATGCTCATCAAATGCATGCATGATGTTAGGTTTTGCTCGCACAGTTTGTGCAATGACAGCAGTTAGTCTGCTTGATCTCTTCATCCGCATTCAACTGAATATCCTTGGAAGGCGTGTGTATTTTGACACCGCCAGAAATATGATGAATTCCGAGGTGGGGAATTTTGAGCATGTTATTTTGCAAGCGTAGCATTTTGTTTGTAACGTTAGTGCCGCCATTTATTTCAGGCAGATATCGTATGTCTTTACGAGGATATTGATGTTCATTGCTCCTCCATTCTCTTCTTATGTTTCTTATCATGTTAGACATCCCTAACCATGAGTGTGCAACACTCATGGATAAAGGAGTGTTAGCAGAGTATAGTTTGCACTAACCCCACATGTTACATGCTTTTTCAGGATTCGCATGTGCCTTTATCCATGAGTGTGCAACACAAGTTCATAGCTTTCGCTGGATACTTGCATCACAAAGGTCTAGCGACTCTTGTTGCAGACACTTACAAGGTGGTGGAAATTGTACTAAGAGGGTACGTGTTAATCAATTTTGGTTACTTCCTTCTTGGCGTTTTGTGACTATTGGATTGCAGGTGTTATGGACTGAATTAGCTCTAGGTGCACAGTGTTTGAACTATAGCAATCATGCCTAGTTTGGAGGTGCAATTGATGTTAACAAGAATCCACTTTTTCATTCAATTGAATGTTTTCAGCTAGATGCTACTTTAGGTGTTGTTCTGAACAACGTGTCGTTATTTTTTTTGAGATGCATGGAACCACCAAGATCGAATTCTACATAATAAATTCACCGTTAGTCAACGTGGGATTTTCCAGGAAACAACTTAAGGAGCCTTATACAATTGACGAACTTAGGGATGTTTTTATGAAAATTCGAGCAAGCTTGGATAGCAGGAGATCACCCTGGGTTCAATACGTTCTTCCACCAGAGAATGTATTGCCGGATGAGTTTGTAGCCACCTCTTCAGCTGCAGATGCAGCCGCCTCAGTTTCAGATATGACACATGAAGATGACGTGCTTGCCCAGCTCATGAATGAAACTAGGGCAGTTGTGTCGAGGTAATGACTCACATGCTTGTAAAGTACCATCTACGTGTCTCTTTTTCACTATTTTTGACTTCCTCCTGGGTCAGAAAGATCTCTTACCTCTCTTGAGCCTACTCTGGAGCTCTGACAAGTTCTATGCAATCTCATGAATTTTGAGTAAACCTCATTGAAGCTGTTTAGAGATCATACAGTTCATCGTGCTAGCTTTGTGAAAGCTCTCTACTGGTATTGGTTGGCCCCGAGACATGGTCTTAGCTTCTACACGCACTGGTGTTTACTACATTGCTTACTTTGGGCCGATTATGTCACAGTAATTTGGACACTACAATTGCAGTAGAAGGCGAAAACTTTGTTCTTCAAGCCACTTCTGACTTCAGTTTTTGACCGTTTTGTGCAGCGATGAATTTAATGAAGTTCTGGCTGTTTGTCTGGATGCTATATTGGATGGAGTCATGGAGGAGCTTTATACCATTTACAGAGGATCTCCGGATAATAGCATTCCTCTGGCCAGGATGCTTCCTCCTGTAGCAGGAGCTGGGTCCACACTTTTGGAACATCCCGATGAAAACCGTTTTATAAGTATATTGGCAAACTTGCCGCAAGTGCATGCATTTTGTGCCTTGGTGTACACTAATTCAAGTGAGGAGGTAGTGGCATCGGGTGAGTTTTAGGGTATCAATCTCCTTCATTAGGATGTGCCTCGGGTGCCACAAAGTTGCTTGCGTTTTGAGTTCCTACGAGTCGCACTGTTGTGGTCTTTAAGGGTTATCTATGCAGCTGGTTAAATGAGCTATCGATTAATGACCAAGTTGTGCATTTAATAATTGTCTAGCCAATGTGTGCCAACTCACTTTCACAAGAAGATAATCGGAATTTTTCTACTTGTCTGGTTTTCATTCTGGTAATTGTAGATAACCTAGACAGTATTAACCTGCTTATTTCCTTTGAAAGCATGTGAAGCTTGATAATCTTTGACAACAAGACCATGTTATGTGGTTGCTGATTTATTTTCTGACAAGATGGTTTGTGGATGAACAGCTAGCACAGTAGAAGTCGTTTGAAGATGCGTACGATAAATGTTAGGATAGTTCTTGACACGAACTAACACAGATTGGAGGAAGTTAAAATTGGGCTTACTCCCTTTCTTGAGAGTCTGCCTGCAGCGTACATATCGGAACTTTTTTCGGCAGCTATCTGAAGGTGATTTTTGGCCTTGATGTCTGATCCTTTTCTTGAAATGGTGAGCCTTTCAGCTCATCACAAGCGAAATACCATCTTAGACGTTGAAATAATTTTATATTCATCCACAATCTAGTTTCATTCTCGTCAGCTGACTTCTTCACTTAAGTTGCAGTTTTGTTTAGAAGCGCAGCTGAAGCTTAACTGAACAGGTATTGAAGCATCCCGCGGAGGTCTAGTTCTCTGGCCGATTTTGAAGGAGCGGTCTTGAAATTCCTTTAGAATGTTTCGAAAGACTTGTAGAAAACCGAAATGAAAATAAACTTGAATTTAGATTCTTTGCACTTCATGAGCAGTGTAAGAATCAGTGGAAATTGATGCGAAGGAAAAAGTTTTAACTATGCGTCTTTTTTACTGTGTATGAACTTGTCACCTCATATTGTTCCAAGTTTACGGTCATTATTTGTATCTACTCGACATCCCTCAGCATGTGCTGCTATTGAGCTACCCTAGCTGTCATGATCGCTGCTGTGTGCAGTTTTTCAATATAACAGAGTTTGTTGGTGCTTGAAATAAAATCATAAAATTTGTAAATGAATTTGCACCAAATTTTGAGTTGTAATTGTTTAGAAATGAAATTTTAGCTTTTTTTATATGATTAGGTGATGCATTGAAGAATTGGTTTTTGAATATTTCTAACGGTAATTCTAAGGTTAGGATTTCATCTTGAAAAATAAGTAGTGTATTTTCAAAATTTAAATTTTGGGGAAATTTTGTTTTTGGTGTACAAAAATTATCTTATTTATCAACATGGAAAATTTAAAATTCTGTTAATGTTCATGTCTACTGCAATTGACATTTGTTACTTTCCCAACAAAATATGTTTGTTTATTTCTACAATTATAATATAAAAATATTTTTAATTTCAAAAAATGTGTAATATTTGGGTAGTGTCAAAAGATACAACAATATTGTAGGCATGTGCTCTTAGCCTACTATAGTGGCAATATATTTGCTTAATGCATTAGAAGTTATCACTTGGTCACTTAAGATGGATCTTTTTATTATCATTTGTACAAAAGAAAAGAAAATAATATATATATATATATATATATATATATATGTGCATATATTTTTTGTTAATGTTTATTTATTTCCAGTAAAATTATAATAATGCTTGTTTGGCTAAAAATCTCAAGTAATAAATGCAAATTCCAAGCAAGTAAATTTGTTAAAGATTATATTATGTTGACTTTAATTGATGCATTTTTTGCCTAATTATAATAGATGGAAGAATAATCTATATTGATCAATAAACATCTTCAGTAAGCTATTTAATGTGTAGCAAGTATTATATGATTGCTAAGAAACTAGAGCATCTTAGAGCATCTTAAGTGACAATATATAATATTATAAGATAGTTGCTATCTATAATCATATAATTTAAAGAAGTCAACAAAAACTCAAATACTACTATTATTTCATGGATACAACTTTTAAATAATAATATTTATTAGTATACTATTTGACAAAAATAAATTTGTAAATGATATTTTGTATGTAAGTAGTAGATTCTTTGGCAGGTTTCTAATAATTTACAAAAGCTTATATATATATATATATATATATATATATATGACTTAAATACAATTAAATATAATATTTTAATAGTGTTTTTGCAATATACATAAAATCAATTTTAGAACCATATAATATATTACATTTGTTAGAAGATAATACACTAAAAAAGAAAATTTCTTAGAATGTTAGTAGTTTTTTAAGTATATTAATTTTTTTAAAACTTACACCAAAAAAACCCCTTAAGAACAAAAATCTCCACTAAACTTAAGTTGTTTGGTATTTGTATTAAATTTGAGCAATTTCTTTTATATAAATAATATCAAATATATCCCCTTTCTTTTTTTATTTATTTATTATTTTAAATATGTTTCTTATCAAATCGTTAATATTAATTATATTTTGATTATTAAATATTAATTGAATTTTATCTTAAATTTTATTTTAAAAATAATTTATTTTATTCTATTTTGATGAATTTATTAGTAGATTTTTAATAATAATTTATTTTTTATAAAATAAAATTTCTCAAAATATATTAAATACACCTTTTAATGCATAGCATGTCATTTCTTCAATATAAAAATAATTATTGGACTAATATTTTCTAAAAGATATGATGTTTTTTTCTGCTAGATTGTGTCTTGTTTAGTGTATGTTGTCACCTGGGAACAAACCTTCTTTGAAGCCACTTTTGAAGCCACTATTGCTTTTAGCAAGCAGCATGATGGAACATTGTAATGGGTACACACGAAAAAGTCACTTACACTTGCACAAGTTTGTAGAAAGAAGTTTGATCTTTTCAGACAGGTATTCCACTATTTCCATTCTTTAGTTGCCTGGGAGAAATGAGATGTAATGTTACCTCCCTCTATTGCTAGATATACATTCTGTTTGATGCATGATCAAAGTACTCAAATATTGGCATTTATATCCGAGGAAAAGTCTGAGGATGATGTTGAACAGCCATGTAAAGCGTGTGGGTTCTGTCAGTTCATATCCCTCAATGTCATTTATTTATTAATAAAAGTGTTCGTTGACTTGGAAACACCAGGTTATAAATCGTTGGAGGATGCAAGTAAATGAAATGGTGACATGATTTACTGAAGATTTAAAAGTGCAGACAGACGCAACGAATACATGAGATGAATTGATCAGGGGAGAACTGAGAGAGAAGAGTTTGTCAGATGCACATAAGCTTTTGACCCAGGAAGGATTTTCAGAAGAGATGTCACGATGCCTGATGTGTGTAAGTGGCACTGTGCATAGCATATATTACAGAGGGCCAGAAGTGGAGGAAGGAATCCTCGGGATTTAGGGCTCTTAGGAATTTTCTGTGTGTGCAAACAACTTCATCTAGGACTCAATATACTGATACTACTACCATTTTGTGTGGAGCTGGGTATTCTAGAGTGGAAAGATGAATGAGATTGGCCACATGATAGCGAGCCTTGCCTGGAGGGCGGCAACAGACTGGAGGAAAACATCCGTATACTCGGTTTGGTGGCGTTGCTCGTCTTCACTTCAGATTCGCCTATTAGCATGGAGACAACGTGCGACATGGAGGGCCTCATGGACGCCAGTGATTGAGTACACAACAAAGCTATCTCGGTGACTCGTTTCACCTCCTCTTCTGGGTATGGCTCGTCCATCAACAAGGGATCCAGCACAGCCAAGATGTTGCCTCCATCGTGCAACGTCCATGTCTGCATTCGACAGCATAATTGGAACTCAAGTATTAAGAGTCGCAAATAAGCTACAGTTCTCTGCAGCCTAAATTCTTGTACACGTGTGTCAGGACGAAGAGAAGCTATTTCATAAAGGTTACAGAAATTTACAGAAATGAAAGTCGAATAGAAGACCATGTAGCGACCAAAAACAACAATCCGGAACTATTGGCATAAATATCTACAAGAGTAAAATCTGAAGGTCAGACGGTTAGAAGATCAAAACGATAAAACTGCAGGGATCCTTATGGTCCGTGTACAAGGGACGGTAAACAATAGCAACAGTTGCTGGGAAACATGGAAACATCGGCACTAGTACTTTGTGGAAATGATTCAAACTAGTCCACATGATTGCATATAGAGAATATGCCTTGCGTACTTTTATGTCCATGCCTGTATATTCAATCAGTTCATTTTTTTTTAATTTTTGAGGAATTTAGCAACTTAGATTTTTAGGTGCACTCATGAAACTATCTAGATCAGTCATCACAAAATAGCCTTCAGTTCTTCGTGAAGACACAACACTAGTTTGAAACTGAAACGTCTCAATCTAAAATATGTGGCCATTAAATTCCTTTGTTAAGGGAAGTGTGATGTTTAGTGGAAAGGATGTAGAGGAATACATTTTAGAGGGAAACTACTGAATATAGAAACAAGAACACATAACAGTTATGACAAAGGAAATTCCAATCATGCTCTGATCACTCCAAATGGTTCTCTGAAGCATTGTAGCAGCATGCTAAGAAATTTCGATTTTAGTCACAAGAATTGTAGAAAGCAAGCATCAAGCTCCAATCGTTAGTCGTGACAGCCTCGTGCTGGCAGACAAAATGGTTTACACTGAGAGAATTGAAAGAGAACTTGCCCAATCCAGAAGGTAGGTCTCCTCTACTGGCAAACGAGCATTGAAGTTTTTCCGGCCGCTGACTACTTCCAACGTCATAATACCAAAGCTGAAAACATCAGCCTTTTCTGTCAGCTGCCCTCGCATTGCATACTCTGGAGCCAGGTAACCACTGCAGGTCACCACCACTAAGTTTGTTACATATAAAGTTTAAGATAGCTTGCATGCGAAACCCAGAAAATGAATCAATCTCTCGTGTTAGATTTCTTGCGTCTGGCCATAATGGTCAGCGTACTTGACATCGTATCGATAGTAAATTCCAGTGTGGGTTCCATGGTTCCCTTAGATTCTTACAGAGTTCCAGCGACGCGTGTGCTGACATGACTCTCATCGTCGGTGAACAAGCGGGCTAATCCGAAATCAGCAATCTTCGGGTTGAGTTCCTTGTCCAGAAGGATGTTGCTGCTCTTGATGTCACGATGGACAATGCGTGCCTGGCAACCCTCATGTAAGTACGCCAAGCCACGTGCAGTGCCCACCAGAATCTTCACCCTTGTCCTCCAATTTAAATGCAGTCTTTTCCCAGGGTCTACATTCAACATGACAATTTGCTAGTACAGATTAAGTTAATATAACTGTAGCGACCATCAAAGTACATCGAATGGGGTTGGAGGTTACCGAATAAAGCTTGGTATAAGCTCTTGTTCTCCAGATACTCGTACACAAGCAACCGTTCGCGTCCCTTGAGGCAGCAGCCACGAAGCTTGACGAGGTTGCGGTGCTGCACTCCCGTGATAAGCGTGACTTCGTTCAGAAACTCCTCGTTACCTTGCCTTGATTTTGTAGACAGCTGCTTTACGGCCACCTCTGACCCGTCGTACAGAATGCCCTGGACAGACGTATCATAGAATTTTTTTATGGATGAGTTCATTAGGAGAGGAATTGTCATGTCAGGATAAGATATTTTATGGATGATTCTCCCATCCTTGAATCATAAAAATACCTTGTAGACTATGCCAAACCCGCCCTCGCCAAGCTTACTGTCAATGTGGAAGTTTTTGGTGGCGTCCTTCAGCTCTTTGTAAGAAAATAGAGTTGGTCGTCCTTCGATTTTCATTATCTCTGGTGAAGCCAGAATATCCAATTAGACCCACAGTAGACTGATCGAATGTCACTGCCAACTAATCTTCAATTAAAGCACGGGCACAATCACCTTGAGGGTCGTGACTAATGCTACAGACAGTGTCCTATAATCAACAAAATGGAGTGTTTCCTATCCATACACACCCAGGGATGATTGGATGCAGAATGACTCAAGCTAGGCGAAATATTCATTGAAGAAGGCTAAGGAATTGAAGTACCATCGCGATCTGCAATCAGCGGTAGAGACCGTGAACGCACTCTTCTCCTCCAAACAAGCAACGAGAGCGCTACTGCTGCAAAAACGATCAGGCTAACCGAGATGCCAAGTACAAGTGGCAGATTCCTTTTAGAATCTGCATACCAGTTTACCCTACATACAATTAATCTTACCATCATCCACGCACAAAGCATTCAAAATCATTCGCTCTATCACAGAAGAAAACAAGCATTGAAGGCGAGGGGGGAGAGAGTGCCTGATAGTAGTCCAAGCATTGTGGGGCACTGGCCGCACAACTCCGCTGTCAGATTACATAAGACGGGCAGGTTGTGATCTCTATAGGAACCGTTTTTGTTGCTGCCCGGAGGATAGAATGTAATCCTGCAGAGACAAGCTGGGGAAATCTTCCACGCGCTGGCAGCCTCTGCGCAGCAACCATTTGTGGGTTGCGGCACTTGTTCCAGCATGAATGTTAAACACTGCACCAAACCACCTAACACTGGGCGGCAATCACCAACGTCTATTGACGGTCTGTGATGTTCAAACGGAAAATCACATGTCGAGTTAGGAGTTGCATCCAATACCTCGATGTCGGTAATGAAACTGACGAGGAAAACTATCGTCAGCATCTTCATAGTAACCATTCTCACTATGCTTGTAGCTCATGCGAGCTAAATCAAGAAAACTTCAGAGCTTTTCCTGAAGATTTAAAACCCTGCTAGAATGACGAACCCTGATTAAGAGAAAGTATCAGGCTGTCGGTTTAGAGTGACAGTCCGTCGGCACTATTCGTAGAAACATAACAGGATTTTCTCCTGCATGGAACTAATGCTGTGAGTTTCATGAGGTCTATCACCCCTAATATGGCAGCATTGGCAACCCACTGATGCCTGTAGAACTCACTGCCTGTTTCTTCTTAGTGTAAAGTGCAGTCCCAACAACTGCATTATCTTGCATGTTCAAGCACCCTGCACCACAGCAGCGTTTCTTCATTACTACCAATTTCCTTCCTCCAACTGCTTGAAATAACAACGTCTCTCGCAACTCTGGTTTTTAAATCACACAATCTGTACAGCAGCCTTGACCCGAAGGTGGCAGAGAGACCAAATGCCAGCACGTGAAGGAATTGCAGAAGATCTTGACAAGAGAGTCTAGTTCTACCACCTCACCAAAAATATTAACCACAAATCTGTTCGTACAAAAAGAAAACGACCATACGAAGCCAGAAGACAGACAATTGGCTATGGGTCACCCAATGTCGCAATCAGACTCCATCATGGACACAAACAGCCACAAGTACTTCAGTGAATTAGTGAAAGAATAGACATTGAATGGACATCTGAATCGACACAACATGATGTAACCTTGAGGATCTCGAAAGCCACTGCTCATCCTGCAGCTACAACATGCATTCATGAACCATTACCGTAAGACAAGACCTTTCTTCAAATCACCTCAAGTCCCATCATGCTGCTTAGTGCTTCTGCTGCATCTGCTTTGTCATTTTCATTTTTCTTTCTACTTTTCTGACACCCCATCAAATTCTCTCTCTCTCTCTCTATACATTAGGAAAGTTCGATTCTCTTGACGAATACTTTTCCACTTCTTTGTCCATTCTGTTGATGCAGCCATGGCTGCTAATGCTGAACACGGGGGCAGGTGGGAATACAAGTGCCATATCCAAGGCTCTGCAAAACACTGTGATAGAATTTGACAAGCAAACAAATGGAGGATGAAGTGACAAGAAAAGTGTGTTTTTTTTTTTTTTTTTTTTTTTTCTTTGTTGTGGAAAACCAACAGTTCTGAGGGTGACAATCAGTTCTGAGGTTAAACTAGAGGGGTTGTGAATTTGAAGGGAGCTGCAGAGCAATGTCATGGAATGGCAGGCTGACGAATGGGGCCTTGGGCATGGTGAGTTGGGTATTGAGGTGCAGCAGCTTTTATTTATGTCTTTATGTTCTCTTCTTGTTCTTGTTCCCTTTTACTTTTCTTTTTTTTTCAAAGTGGGTACTTAGTTGTACTGTAAGATAGATGTGAAAGCACAAGGCATAATCTTGTCATTCATGAATGTGTAGCTCCACTATAAATTGGTCTTGGAGACAGTATGAAGAGTCCTCTAGATAGAAGATATATATATGTATAGAATCCTGAATCAATGAAATTTTAGCAAAGTATTTTGAAAAATTGTAAATAATTATGTTGATGTTTTTTTTGCAATCTTTACAGTGAAAGTTTATTTATGAAGAAACAGAAGTTGTAATAAATTATCCTGAAACAAGAAATTCAATTTACAATAAAGATTATATTTGATCAAAAAAATATTTATTATGAATAATTTTTTTTATCAAAAATGCATTATACCATTAAGTGATTTGCTGCTTTGTACATTTTGTTGCACCCACTCAATGCCTTTCTACGCTTTAAATATTCTTCACAAGATGTATATACCTAGAGTGCATTTTGATATACCTAGAGTGCATTCAAATTGAACCATTTCATTACAACAAAGCATAGTTGTTTTTATTTTTATTTTTTATTTTTATATTTTTGGTCAATAAAACTAACTGTTAAAGTATTTTCATTGGATGTACAAGTTTAAATCTTAATTAGTTCGTTTTCAATCATTACTTGAATTAAAATTCATAAATTGTGTGCATGCATGGGACTTTACTAACATTGTTAACAAAAATTTAAGTTCTTAAGTTAAATTGTTTTAAAGATCTCCCTCATCAAATAAATTTCCAATCAATTATCTTCACTAAATCAGTTTCATTTAGCAGCTTGACTATGTCACTAAAAAATCATGTGAATGTGACCATAAAATGTAGAAAGTCAAGCTTTAAAAACACAATGTTTTTTGGCATTTCAGCTGATCAACATTTTTACAAAAGTAAATAAATAAATAATCCACACAGTTGTTTTAACGCCAACACCCCAATTTCGTTTCCATGCATATATTTATTTATTTTTAAATACCCTGGAACCTAGAAGTTAACCTATTGGAGTCTTAAAGTAGCAAGGTAGGTTTTGAACAGTAAATGGTACAAGACAATTCTACAATCTACAATCAAGGAGTAATTTCAAAATGCTTCATTGAAGTTCTGAAAGTTCAAACAAAGCAGCAATGAAATTGTCTGTAAGTAGCATTTAAGAGACCATACCATCTTCAAATGTACTAATGAAACATAATGATCATGTTTGCATCAAACAGGCATTTCTTAATGAATTGAGAAAGCGACAACTTTAGTTATCCTTGATAAGAGTCAGTCAAAACCCCGGACATATACGGCCAGTCAGTGAATCTCACACTGTACTACCGACAGACATGCTGCTAGAAACAAAATTAATGTACAACTCTGACAAACTATTAAGTAGAAAGCAAACTTTCTACAGTCTTTCTCCAGCTGTGCCCCGTTTGACGCACCCAACTGCTACATGCCTGATGTTGCTTCCTGAAGGCTTAGGAAGCATGTCTGACTTCATGGATTCCTGACAAGGCATAACAGTGTGAGTGACGCCCAATCCATTCTTAAGTGTCTATGGCCATGCTCAAAGCTTTTCACAGTCTCACAATGTAGAGTTGAGACTGTATTCAAAACTTCAGAATCCCAAAACACCGAAAAAGTCATAACTTCACCAATGTTGTATTGTCTACTTTATCTGCACTAAACACTACCTGCAAAGAGCCATCTGTCCAAGGTGCAACCTGAATGAAACAAAAAGTAATGTCTGCAGAAGGTTCCCTACGTAAGTCAGTTAATATCTGAATCTCAACTATAGTTACAAAACGTTCTAAAAAGTTGACTCTCTCTATAGATATGTCTCAAGCCATGGAAATGTTTTAGCAAACATACCCACTTCTCCAACCTGTGCGATCGACAACTAAATAATATAAACATACAGCCTCCATGACCCCTCATACTACAAGTAATGAATTAATGTAACCAGTGATGATAGAGCACCACAATAAATGGAGCTGCGGTCTCTTTGTACCTTTCCCCAAAGCGCTAAAACTAAACCAGCAGACATTGTATTTATGACGCACCTTCTCCCCGTTTCATCATCGGTTCATCCAACTACAGACTCATTTTTTGCGCTATTCTCCCGACAAGGGGTGCGCAGCTACAAGTATCGACTTAAATAAGATTGAACTAGATGAGCAGAAGCTCTTGGAAATCAATAAATACAATTCTCCTTCGTACCTAGGTGTTGTGTATCCATCTGGGCCGTAGAAGGCGATCAAAGTGGAAAAGATGACCTCGGACACGGTAAACGTGCATTGAGTAAAGCAAGGCAGATGTCAAAACAGCTCCGTATGACATGCAAATGGTGATGCCAAAGTCCTGTATATAAACATTAAGAGATTAGGATAGGCGCGTCAGCTCTTTACTATTATCCCAATTCGTGAATTAAACATCGTGATAGTTGTTTGCATACTCCAACTAAAACGGTCTGACGAATAAATGCATTTCCAAAATCTCACTAAATTGAGCTCGAGTACCAGGTGAATCCTTAAGAACAGCAACTTCAATACTAACGTGGTTACAACAGCCGAGTCTGATATATCCGTCTGAGTTTAGGCTCGCTCGTTAAGCGTATCTACACTTAATCATAAAACTTTCAACTACTTTGGGATAACTTGCCTGTGGACGAACAATCACCATGCCAACAGCGTAAGTTAACATGTCCATTAGGGATTGCAAGGACCTCTGCACGCCACCAACCACTCCTCTTTCTGCCACTGGCACAGACTCCTGCCGAAATCAAGGGAAAAATCAATGACGAAATAAAAATCAATTTCTGTGAAATCACCGCATAATACCTTGAATGAGTAATGAGGAGGGAACCATAGAGCGGGGTTTTAAATACGAATGATTCAAAAAAATTGGTTCGCTTCTCATCTCAGTTTCTAAATTCCCGAGCCTGAAGCACTGGGAGTTGGACACAAAGAAGATGGATCCCAAAAGAAAGTGCTGTGGGGTGGGTCGAGTGTTGACCTGCATGAGCTGAGTCACTGATAGATCAAACAACCACAGACCAAGACGTGACGCTGCCACGCCACTAATCAGCAGAAGTGAGGCCACTTTTGAGTTGTGGATCCATACGGAAACAACGCATACTGACAGCAACGACCACTGTTCAAAAGCCACGTTTGCGAAGTCACGTTAAAAGAAATTCCTTACACCTATACTGACATGTTTGACAAGATGCAGATGCAAGAACAAAGTGCGTCTCAATAGGTCAATCCTCTTTTCTTGTAAGAACAAGGAACTATGACTTGGAACTAGATGTTCGGCTTCCTGTAACTTGAATGCAAGCTGTTTAAGAAGCAAAGAAACGATTACTGACGTTAAAATACCTCGAAGTTACATCCACTATTGTCAATTTCTTCACAGGGGACTGAGATCTCACCTGGATCCAAATGGACCAGTTGCCCGTGCGAACAGTTTGAAGGCGAGCATGTACAATTGGGAAGATGAATGTGGCTAAAATTCCCATCATTGCTGCTACACCACGAGCAAGTCCTAACACATAAGGAGGAATGCCTCTCCAACTCAGAAATGCCGACATCAATGATCCAAAGCTGCACCGCCCACGCCCACGTAATCCTTGGATTGAGATAACCAACATAATGCACCAGCATATCGCAATTATCAGGTTGACATATTGAATTCGAGCCAGTAACATGGAAAGCTTTCATTCCTTCATTAAAATAAATTGATAGACTATGAACGATATCACTTCAAGATGTGACGTAGACAAAATCCTCTCGAAAATACACTCAACGCCACAGCCTTGAATTTGAATACCTTAACTTCAGAGATACAGCGAGAAACGTACCTCAATACAGTAAAGTAGAGAACTGCAAGAGCCAGTCCTGCTAGCACGGCTTCCTGGTGCATGTAAGTGACCCAACCTTCAATCACCGGTAGCTTCTTCAGCTTATTGAGAAAGGTAGACTGTCGGGATGTGGTCTGTTGGCCTGTATTTTTCAGTAGGCTTACTTCTTCGTGGCCCTCCATCTTTTGATAATAAATAGTACAAAACGATTAGTACTATCAAGGCTGATGCAAAAAGTACCTAACTTAAAAACTCAAAACAGATATTCGCTGATGTGTCCTCAAGCACAAGAGTCTCAAGACCATAGCAGTTAAGAACAGTTTCGGACTGAGGCCTGCAATTGAAAAGATAAAGAAGGGAAAGATTCAAATACCTGAGACATATTGTCTCTCTCAAAGACGCTCAATTCCACTTCTTCAGCGTTTGACTCTGCAAACTGGCTTGAGGCTTGGTAAGCTTGGTGTGCGGTGCTCTTCTGTTGCAAGGCGGGCATGGAAACGTACACATGATGGAGAAGCCAGTATTCAATCCCGACCGAAATAATGTTCCATACCGCGATCAAAACAGGACTTGCGAGCACCGACACGGAACTCATCATGAAACCAACGACTATTGGAGCTAGGAGTTTGCAACTGAGATCTATACGGCGCATGACTGAATTAATTTTTGTCAATGATCCTGGTGCTTGCTTCTCCGCAATCAAAACTACCCTGCGCCAAAAATCAATAAGAGTGAGCATGATCACTTCATGAAAACTCACCACACGAGAAAGGAATAATGTAAAAATCATTAAATTGATTCTGGCATTGGAGTCTGTGATAGCAAGAGTTGGATTAATTTAGGTACCACTGTTAGAAAATGAGGCTACACCGCAGGGTAATCAAGAACCTAATAATTAATATTCAACTGAAATATACGAGACTTAAGAGCTGTACCAGTCGCGCTCCACCACTACATCCATAGCCATTCCTGCAAGTGCGCTGATTGCACCGAATACATTCACAATAACAACCAGCATCACAAAGACACTGAATCCTCCTGGGGTAGCCCATGGATGGAGCAAGAGCATGACGACAGCCAAACCAGCTGCTACAACAGATCCATTTTGTATACCCAATGAAAACTGCACCATCTGGACTCCAACGCCAACATCTTCAAATCATACGCACCTAAAAGCAGAAAGAAAAATGCAACCAACACTTCGACTTGGACACAACTATAAAGAGAAATACAAAGTGAATCTTCAACTTCTATGGCCTCGAATTCTTGCATGCTCTGACACAATCTACTTCATTCCTTGGACCAAGACTGTTATGCGAATTCTAGCATTTATGAGTTCTTAAGATATCCTTCCTCTAGAGAATCCACCAAAGGAGTTGTGCAGAAGCCGTACCCTCAGCCGGGGACATTTATCCACCAGATTCCCAACAAGAACACCAAGAGTAGCTACAGAAGCAGTTTCCACAAGACCATAGATAGCAACGAGTAGTAGTGAATTGGGCCACACTTGAATCATAAATAAGCCCACCGCAAACTCCCACATCCTGCGTGGTCATTCAGCCAAAACTCAAATTAAAGATTGATTTAGAGTTTATTGCCCACACAAAAACAAGGCACATTGGCATAACTGCGGACATAACGTGATAATTAGCACAACCCTAGGCTGAAGACAGAATTTTCCTCAGGCAGGCTGTGAAATCGAACTCACGACCGAAGGAGTGACCTATACCTGTCTCCCCAGCGGGAAAGAAAATGGCTCCAATACAGACAGTGAACGAGCCTACTCCAATTCTCCATCTCTCCATCTCTGGCTTCAACCCGGAAATGCGATTTGCCTCCAACCTCGGCAAAATCATGACTCAAAGCAAACCTCCTCGGCATTTCCTGTTCAATACCTCCAACATCCGAGTGCCGTCCAGGCAATAATCTCTCAATCTCGGATTCCATCTCTTCAGCAGCGACCTTCGCCATGGGACGGGAAGAATGGGCAGATTCAATCTCCATGACAGTATTGCAACTCAAGGTTCTCAACAAAGGAATATCACCCACCAGACGGGTTCAAGCTTTCGCCTCAGAAAGGACCCGTCACTGGGGAACCAGCTACATTACACCCCACAAACTGCCATACTTTCGAGAGAAACCTCACGTACGTCTTGAGCGAGTACATGGTGGCATAGAAAACAGACTGAAAGGCATGGCCGAACCCCGAGAAATTCTACTGCAACTCGGCAACCTCAACAATCCCAACCCCCCAACATCCGTATCTTCTCCATCAGAGCAAATTCAGCACCAGGACAGACCCCCACCCACTGAAATCCTTTCGAGGATACCGGAAGAATCAAGACAGATCCACCTGAATCCTCGAACGGCTAATCTTCACTTGCAATAACTGCATTCTTTTCACTCAAATTCATCGCGGCCAGCACGCACACACAAACACACAGCTTCCAAGAGCCTCATGGTGGTGGAGCCACTATCTTCATGGTCGTTTTGTGGGCTTTGGCAACTTTGTGATCATGGAAAGGTCACAGTTTTAGTTTAGTTTTATTGAATTTTCTTTTTGTGTTCTTTTATGGAAAGACAGTGAAGTTAGTCTTCAGTTCTCTTTTTTTTCTTTTCATCAAAAATAAAAATAAAAATAGTTGGAATTTTACAACTGTGATGTGAACGACTTATCCGTTTGGGATAAATGTTTGGTAAAAACGTTTGCAACTGTTTGCTAGTTTGAAGTTATTACAGATTTACATTGCTTTCAGAATATAAAACACTTCGTGAAGTATCATGTGTGTTCTTAATGAAGCACTTGTGAAATTCATCTCAGATTCAATATGACATTTTTAATGTATAGGATTTAATTGAAGGAAATCCCAAAATAAAATAAAATAAAATAAAAAATCATTCATGGTATGTACATTTACTGCTCTCTTACTATGCTATAAAAATTATTAATAAGTTAAGATATTAAAAGTAATTTTATTTATTTTTACTTATTTTTTAAATAACAGTTGTTGTGAATGTATTATTACTAATTCAACCAAATTGAGTGTTGATTTAAGTATTTCTTTAATGAAATATTTTCATGGAAAAAAAAAGTGGATTTTTTTGTTTTAGTTATGGTTCTAACTGTAATTAAATATAGAATAAAGTCAATTTACAGAAAGGCACATTGTAATTTATTGGTCTTTTTGCCATGTTTTGTAAGACTGTAATAGAAACTATAATCTTTAAAGCTAACAAATGAAACAACATTGAATGAAGAAAATAGTGCGTAAAGATTTAATTACATAATTCATATACTTGCTTGTGTTATTCGTAAAATTGAATCTAAAAAAAAAATTACATATCTTCAACAAAAAATTAAAATCTTAGCTAATTAAAAATATATCTTAATTGTAAAATAGTAAGAATACAACAATGTTTACAAATAATCATATATAAATAGATAAAATCATAGCAATTTTTTAAAAACATGATAAAAAAACTTATAAATAATATTTTTTTTAGGAAAATGTCAAAATGATCTAGGTTTCAAACGATATTTTGATTATATATATATATATATTAGAAATATATATAAATTATTAATAATATCTTGTTTATATATATATATAAAGGGATTTTTAAATAATTTATGTAATATTTTTACAATGAGTTAATAAATTTAAAACAAACAAATAAATTAATACTTATGTTTTCAAATGCTCATTTTCTACTTTTTTCAATTTTAAATATCATGTTACTACTATTACAAAAGTTTTTAAATTTTGAATTATTAGATGTAAAATTTAAACCATTTTTGAGGTGTATGAAAATTAAATTCAAATAATATTCATTTACAGCACTAAGAACTTCATTTATGGCACTAAGAATGTAAAAATATAACATATAAGGAATAAATTAATGGTGAAAAATTAAAATAAAGTTTTAGAATAAAAAGTGTTTTACAATCTGAAACTAGTGATTGAAAAACAAGTGAAATTTATAATTAATCTTTAATTGGCATATGTAATAAGTTTTATTTATTTATTTATTATTTTTTTTCCCTTGTGTTGTTTCAAACATTTTCTAGTAACATAATTGAAACCCTTGAAAAATCATCAATTTTTCAATTCAATTTTTTTTCATAAAAAATTATATACATACATACATACATACCCACATACAAGTAAAAACCCATGTCATTGGGCCCTGCAATCTTTGGCACATCCACCCATTTCCTTGTTTCTATGTTCCCACGTTCCCTTATTCCATGAGTTCCCTTCTTTACAGCCAATCGTAAGACTTCTTTGTCTAACATGTATTATACCCCAGTTGTCTTATATGAAAGATATATGTTGTGACTTAAAAAAAGAAATATATAGTACAGGATCATAATAATTTCATGTTCTAAACTAATCAAAAAATAAAATAGTTCAAATTTTCTATACACAAAAAAAGTAACTATTCAACTTCATCTTCTCCAAAAAAAATCCTCCAATATATCTGATCATATATATATATATATATATATCTATATATCTATATATTTCTCAGTTAAATATATACATAAGAAAACCGTTAACTAATGCAGTCGGCAGTGCCACAGTTCGTTGGTTCAAACCCGCACGGAAATAGGGGATACGCGGTCACGGAGAGGGGGGTCACACGAGGGGCGAGTGAGTGAGAGGGGCGTGGGCATGGGGGGTCATGCTGCGTACTGTCGACAGGGTCGGGTCATGAATGTGAAACCAGACATGGGAGAGAAGGCGACGGGTACGGTAGGGGGGAGGGTCTCCCTCGGGGACAGGGCCAATAAAGATTCGACAACCAGGGATATGTCGGAACTGCACCTCCCATAAGTGCCGTATAGCACCAGCACCAGTTAGAAAGTATGTAACAGCAGCAGCAGGACCCTCGCCCCTTTGAAAAACTAAGAAGAAGACAGACAGGCTCTCTCTCACACACTCATACACAACACACACAGCCTCACAGACTCACAGACTCACTGAACCAGCGAGAGAGTACAACAGAAACAGAAAAGAAGAGAAAGAAGAGTAAGGAAGGGAGGGAGGGACTCTGATTCATCCCGCCACCATTTTGTTGGTTTAAGGTCGGCGGGGCTGACTGACCACGACGCCCAATTTTGCAGTGCCGCTCGCTGTTACTACTCCATTACGGCGCCCATCCCGCTCGTCGTCGTCGTCGTCCTAGCCAGCCGTATGATCATCGCACCCCGTCTCTGTTAGAAATGCCGTCTGCCTGACCTTTCCGACCTGGCGTTACACCCCCCCGTTAGAGACCCCGATCAGAGAGAGAGAGAGCATCCATACTGCGGCGGGCGGTCCAGTAGGGTGGTTAATTGATGAGGCAAGGGAGACGTGACTTCACTATCCTCGCTGTTGCTGCCGCTCTTTTCATTCCATTCTAACCCTAAGTAGGAGGGAATTGGTTTGCTGTGCTCGCATTAGCCTGTGTGTGCAATGCGTTAACGGTCCAGAATAATTCCGTTTGGTCGGGGGTTGTGAATGGGGGAAAAGGGAGTGCGTTTGTGGCGAGGAAGGTTTTGAGCTCGTGGTCGCTTTGTTCATGTTCTTTTATTTTTATTTTTATTTTTACATCGAGCGTAGAAAGGGCTTGCCCAAGCTATGCGATTTTGGAACTAGTGCTGGAACTTTGGATGTGTTCCATGGGTTATGGTTTTCATCTCTTAGTTTTTCGCTGCGGGAGGTGTTTGAGCTGGTCTTGTACTACTGCAGACGTCCGAAGGGGATCGGAGCTTGATACGAAATCGCTCATTACTTTATACTTTTTTAGTTTCGAATATTTTTCATGCGGTCTGGTTTGAACTTCAGAGGTTGACTCCGTCCAGATGTTCCCGAGGCACGTTGATCGTAGTTACCAAATTTAGACGTTAGAGAGGAATCTTTGCGCTTTAGGAATAAGTTTTCCGTGTTCTCCCAGTGCTTGTTTGTGTGCAATGTCTAGGTATTGTGTCATGGAGGACGCTTCACATTCGAGGAACGCCAGCGTCTGCAGCTTGCGTCGCTCTCTTACAGCTTCTTTCGTCATCCCCTTTTCGCTTCCCACAGCTTCGTAGTCGTTGCAGTGATAGAATGAATGAATGTGGGAAACTTTGAGACCAGTACAATTGGCCTGTAGCACGTGGACACAACTGCAGTATTCATGTTTATGTAGCTGCAGCACAAGAGGGAAACTAAGATTGTAGGTAAGAGCAGGTGGTTCTTGAGATAGAACCCCATAGTCTCGCTTTCGAAGTTTGTAAACACCGATTCAGCGTTGGCAAAAGCACTTGTGAGGCTGCCTCAGATGGGTTTGTCGAAGGAGCTAAATATCGGGGTCAGATCGGACGGTAAAGCATGAATGACGAAAGTGGGCCTGGTTGGGTGAGCGTGATTTGCAACTGTTCAAAGCTAGGATGCTTTGCTCCAGGGATCAGCGCGAGTTCTATTCGAAAATCAGCTCTTCGTGTAGGACCGATAAGAGGGTCGGGGTTTGATTAGAGCTTATTAGGTGATCAGGATTTTAATTACTATTATTATTTTGATATCCTTAAAGTCCTAGTTCCCCTCTTTTAACTTTAATATTACAAAGGTGAAAAACAAGTCATTATTAAGGTGGCGGTAAGGTCTTATCATGGGAAAAGGGACAATTGATAGGAGAAGACCTGATGGAGAACTCACAGTAGTTCGAAGGCTCATCGATCCTAGTGAATCTGAAATTGCTGCTACTCCTACAATACCCGAGGACGCAAGTTTACGACAGGCACGAGAGTATGACAAGGGATGGGATGGGTCATTACGCGGCCTCGATGGAGGTGCTTCATCCTACGATACTGTTGGGGTTCCAGATAATATTTCCGACGTCGGAAGGGAAGAGCCCAGTATAGCATTCATTGCTTCAGGAGAAAATAACAATGTGGAATCTTCTTTGGTCTCGAGGCGTGTTTCACAAAACACAGAAATGGGAAGACTCAGACAGCTAAATTCTGAGAGAGATCTTGAAGAAGCTTCCAGTTTATTATTCAATAATCCAATGAAATTGCAGCTGAAAGCTCAAATTCTGGTGTTGGGAGATCTGTTGTAAGTGGTGTTGCTTAGGAACATGTCATACTTTCGATATGTTATTTTATGACTATCAAAAATTCTTGGAATCAAAGTTTGTAAGTGCATTAGTAATGCTTCATGTTTCTAAAGAGTCCGGCATTCGTGTGGCTTTGCATAAACTAGCTGTTAAGTCCTTGAGAGCACATTTCTCCTCATATTCAATTATGTACATATCTGTGTGTTTATATCAAGTTTACTACCAATAGCTGATTTGCCAATCTGCTTCTCACCGATTTACACGTCCTTGTAATGAATTACTCACTTGCGGTTTTGCCTTCCTCCTTCCCTCTCTCCCTTTTCCCTTCTCTCCTCCCCTTTTTTCGCATCATGTTCTCCAGGAAGGGTGTAGTACCGAGCTCGGATTTACTGAAGGAGGCTTGTTCGAAACTTGTTGAAGGTGTGTTTCAGTTCACATATGTTTTTGGCAATTCGGGGGTAGTAATGGTTCGTCTTACTTTGAGATGGATTTTTCGAGATGATCAGCTGTCTGTATGTTGCGTGTCTCTTTCTTGTATTTTGGGTTGACGAAGATGTCAGATGAAGATGTGTGATGTTTCTGGAGTATAAAAGTTAGAAGACTGTCTTCTCAGTTGCATCTTTCTTGGTCTTGCCTGATTCATGCTGAACTTGATGCTTCAAACTGTAAAAGTCCATAAAAGTATGGAGTGGAGTATTTTAGCTTCTAAACAGGATTCAATAAGATACGACATTTGTGGCAAGCAACCTTAAAAGTCTTCAGTGCTATCGATGCTTAAATTTGCTGCAATCTCGAATCTATGTCATTTTATAATTTTCTTGTGAAATACACTAAAGAAAAACACATTATCAATGTGTTGTACGCACAATTGCTTCTGGTACTGCAGGAATAGTCTAATTTTTGAACTAGTCAAAACATTGTAGTTTTTAATGTCGTTGCATGAAGTTTTCTAACTATTTCCATCGCTGTGGTGCCTTTATTGATATTGTTTGAATATTTCAGGAGTTGAAACTAAGTTTTTCGAGCCTGTTGTTACCCAACGTGGTGTTCAAGACCTACAATGCAAGATGACAAAGATTCCCAATGTCCCCGGAGAATTTAATTTTCGGAATATAGAAGATGAGTTATGTGTTCCAGGAAGACCGTTAACTTCAGAGGAGCCCCCATCAGATGAAAAAGAATTTCTCTCTAGTGACGATGGTTTAGCACGAGAGAGAGATCTTGCAACTTCAGGGCATTTGATGATCACACAAAACAACATAATGACAGCCAGGTCAAATTCAAATGTGGGAGAAGAGAAATCCCAGGCTGCCGGGATTAGTGGTCAAGACGATGATAAGCATCTTAATTTGGCGCAGGCCAGTGCGCAGGATGCGTTAACAACTGCTACATCTGCTCTTGCTCAGAGTCACATGGTGTGGGCTCGCCTTCATTCTCACGATCATTCGGAAGAAGGAGCAACTAGAGACGCTCGAATTGCGTCTGTTGCTGCTACTGTTGCGGCCGCTGCTTCAGTTGCGAAAGCTGCAGTTGAGGCTGCCCGAGCGATTGCAGAAGTATCAATGAATGCTTTTATTCAAACTGGCGCCTGCCACGCTGTTAAAACTGGAGCAAGCATACCTGAGTTTGGATCTAAGAATTTCTCACAATCACTGCAGGTATTATAATGAACCTGTGATATTACACCGAGCTAGTTTACAGCGGTAGTAAGTTCAATACAATGCTCCGAATAATCTTTCCCATATTGCCTCTAGGTCATAGGAGGAAGCATGCATACAGCACGCTGCTTTGTGAGCGTTAGGAAGCGATTCGTTATTAACTAGCCTTGAAAGTGAGTTGTAAAATCCTATTGAGAATACACAGAAGAGGAATGAATTTCTGTTAAAGGAATGTATATTGTACGAGAAAGTATTTTCGTGAAAACTATAGAAGATAAAATAGTCAGCTGGTTATATTGTAAGTGAAGCCAGCTGATCGTGAAGCAATTGCAGGTCACTAGTTGGGATCAGACTCATCATAGCATCAGGGAGAACGCCACTACAGCATCGCATCCAAAGACTGACATAGTGGAATCTGTTGTTCAAGCCGCTGGACGAGCAGCAGAAGCTGCCTCCCAGGCAGGAACAGTTTTAGTGAATACAAATCCACTGATCACAGCGAGTTGTTGGGGTGGCTTTTGGTCGCGGAAACAAACTGAGGTGGATGGAGAGCATGAGCGGAGCGAATATGGTGGAATGAACGAAGCCAATGAGATGCATGCAGTTTATGGAGTGGATGAAGTTGATGGAAGACATAAAGTGGGTGCGTTGAATCTGACGGATGCTGTGAATGGAGCGAACGACTTAGCCCGAGCGGGCGAAAAGTATGTGGCGCTGGAGCCGGAAGCTATGCATGCAGAGAACTACGTATTTCAGAAAGAACTGAATGCGGCGATGGATACCAACGTCCATGAAGATTATAAAGTGTATCAAAATGTAGTGAACCACGAGATCTCTAATGATGTGGCTGCAGCTAATGAAGAAGCGTCCGCGGAAAATGAAAACGAGGACGATCGCGAAGTGGCTGCGGCGTGTGAAGGCCAAGGTGAAGTGGGTTTGGTAAATGTTTATGACGACAAAGCGATTGTAGAACAGGAATGCGAGGTGAATCTGGTGAATGAAGACCAAGACCCAATGGCTGGTGCGATTGATGGCAAGTTAACTGCTACAAACAAAGGTGAAGTGGGTTTTGCAAATGAAGACCAAGACGACGTGTGTGAACCAAATAAAGTTTCTGTTGTGAAAGAAGTTGATTTACATGAGTTGGCTGTAATGGATATAGTGGATGTACCGAATGAGATTGCTGCAGTGAATGAAGTGGATGTGTCAAATGAAACGATGGAACCAATAGAAGAGGGACAACGTATCAATTCAAGTCTAGAGAAATTCAAAAGAGAGAGAGGAAGATGTTTTGAAGTACCAAGCAGAGCCAAGAGTTTCAAGGAATTAGCTGGAATTTCCTCCACTACAGCTCCGATCCAGACTGTAGAGAATGCAAAACAAATGCAGCTTTATTCACCTACAGGTCGAAGCAAGGATCGAGATGAAAACGTAGGAGGGGGAAAACGGAGTGCAAGGCATATTGAATCAGCACCTACGAGCTCTTCTGAGAAGGATGCAACCATGCGGGTTTCAGTAGATCCTGGCGACGAAAGTATCACACGAGAGCCGTCAGAGAAAATTTTGGATGCGTCTGTTGTAGAGGTGTGTGAAAACTAGTTCAGAGTCAAATCCAATAGATTTCAATTACAGAAGTCTTAGTGACTGAACTTATATCACCGTCCTTGTTAGAATGTGACCTCTTTGATTCATTCTCTTCTTTTACAGTTGAAAACGTGCTAATTTAATTCTTTATTCTTTCAGGTCATGATTGACGAAGTAGGATTGAGAGGTGCCTGGTTCTTAGGCAAAGTCATCAGAATGACTCCGAATGAAGCCTTTGTAGAACTAGATGACCTTCTGACTGAAAATGGTCAGTACTCAAAATCTTGTCAATTTTACATGTACATAAGCCGCCTCTCTAGGCTTCCCGTTGATTTTGTTTTCCAATACCTATTGAAGCGTGTACGAAAGTCAGCATGACACCTGTTGTAAGGTGATTCTAACTGAAAGATTAAAGTTTTGATCTTTGAAGGGCTTTCTAAAGAGAAAAATGTGCCTTCTCTAGAAATATCTATTCTCTGGCATGTGCAGTTATACATAGATAGAGTGATTCGATTTTAAAGAATGACTTTCACAGAGATGTTTTCCGGTGTCATTTTTCTAATTTCTACGCATTGATTATGATTAAGTATGTAGCTTTTATCTTCTGCAAGCTGAGCAGTTGATTAGATGAAATATGTATAGCACATATTTTTCTCAAGTTTTGATGCCTCTTTCTCTCCCCTCCTCTCTCCCTCTCTCTTTCCCTCTCCCATTCTTTCTTTCTTCCTTAAGTCTTGATCAACTCATGAACTGAATGCTACAGTATCACTTCCACCTCTTAGCTTACTTTGTCGTTTTCAAATTATATAATCCAGTGTGTTTCATGAGTTACTTTTGTTCACAGTGAACCTGAGAGGATATGCTTATTTAAAATTAGCTGTTGATACGAATCAAATAATGTTCATGAATGCAGGCAAGGTGAAGGCTAGAGAGTGGTTTCCTCTTGTACAAGGGAATACTCCGAATCCTTCACGACGACACGTCCGGCCTGTGCACCCGTTCAGCATTGTTGGTGAAGCAGGTGTAAGAAAGCAACGGCGTGTATCATTAGTATCCCAAACTTGGAACATAAGCGATCACGTGGATGCTTTTGTTCATAACGCGTGAGTTTACTGTACTTTTTGCAAGTAGTGTGTATAATTTGTGATTGTCGTATCCAATGTAAGCTTCGTATGGATCTTTGTCGCATCGAAAATTAGACGATTAGTTATTTTCGAAATTAGGAATAATTGAGATAGCTGGAGAAGGCTGCTACATCTGGAAAATTTGCACCGTCTGGTTTTGTTGTCTTCTGAGAGCTCTAGATATAGATAACATTCCTTGCTATATGGTCGTGAGTAAAAATAATGGTTTAAATATGTATTCTTAGGCTGTTTGTAAGTTTATCTAGTTTAGGAATAGATTTGGTCGTTTGCAACTATTTCAAGTTATTAACACCAGCAGGGGCCTGATTATTCCTATTCTTGTGTGTGAAAAGTAGTTTGCTGAGTGTTTATGTGGAGCTTTTCTTTGTGTGCAAGTGCGTGACATTAAGAATGTTGTTTATGACAACCATCATGTGGCACATCTGGATTCAGGTGGTGGGAAGGGATTGTCGTGAGCTTAAATGATATGGATGCAACCCAAGCCACCATCTGTTTTCCAGGTTTGAACATGTTTCACACAAGCCATCTGTTTGTACTTCATATCATGCTTTTGTTATGAGGTCCTTGTTAAGATCTTATAGCAGACTTGTGTGGGAGATGAAGTTGTAGTAGTCGGTAATATCCATGAATTTCTTTGAGATTCTGCTGTCTATGCTTTGCACTGCATTTTTGCGTTGCACGTATTTTCCATTAGCAGTCTACTTTTCTCAAAGTTGTTCAATGTCATTACTTCATCTGGCTAACAACTACGAAATTAATCTCTTGCTGTGTAGGGGAGAGCAAAATACAGGTTGTAAAGACGTGGAATTTGAGGCCCTCTTTCAAATGGAAGGATAATAAGTGGATACCGCTGAAACATTCTGAGCTGCTGGAGGTAAACTAGTTTCAATAGTCTTCATGTTTTACGATTGCTGAACAGTGAATGTGATGTCCAAGTAAGAAATCAGCAAACCAAATCTCCTTATGGAAGCACTTAGTATTCTGAAATGGATTACAAGTCACTGAGAATATAAGAACGACTTGATCTTGCTTTATATTATGAAAATTCATACGTGCATGTTTATTGAGACAAGGGTATAATGTCACCAATTTCCCGGGTTTGTCCATGACTCGTGTTCTCGTTCGATTGTAGTCATAGTGTTCTGAGTTGAAATGTGTTTTCGTGAAAATTCATTGGATTTCTACCCTGAACGATTAAATTTTTGGAGGTTGGTTGACAAGTTCACAAAGTTGGATTTTATTATAAATCGCTGGAACCAATATCTTATGTGGAGGTATGCGTCATAAATGTAAAGGCAGAGTGTGTTGTGTTGCGGTATCTTTTGTTAGTTTCGAACTCTGAAGTGATGTTGTTTTGGAATAAGTAGAATCAACGACCTTGGAAGCGACAAAAATTTCGAGACTTGAGTTGGGAGCTTTTGAATAATGGGCCTGATGAGCTGGTTACTCAGAAATCAAACGGTGAGACCAGTGATGGGAAAATTCTGAGGACGAAACTTCATGAGGACCGTGCCTTTATTTGTGAACTCACATCTGCTCAAAACGCTCGCCAATCACCCGCTAGGGATCAGGAGGAAAGTTTAACACCCGTTCAGCAACCAGGGCAGAAAAAAGCAGAGGTCAAGGGAGGTGAAATCACCATGAATTGCAAGTGCCGTGAAGAAACATAAAGCGCTTGAGAAGAATGTACTGCCTCCAGGAACCTGCACCAAGATATGCTCCTGTGGACGAAAGCACGCCAGCAGCATCTGTACGCAAAATCGTGCGAAAAATTTGAAATTTCTTTAGTAAGCGAAGTTGACGCGCTGGAGAGACGAAGACGGTTGTCAAAGCGACGCTCCATTGGCAATGTATAATTCTCAACCCGGTGAATGTGATTCCTTGGTAAAGTGTGATTGCTTCCGAGAGGTGTCAGCAGAAGGTGCCATTGCTAGTTCGAGCTTCCTGAGCTACGGCATTACAACGAGCAAGACACATTATGATCACAGCATGAATCTCTTGCTTTGCCAAGAAAAGAAAGGTGATTTATCATTCATTGGCCTTCCGTGAGGTTCTGACTGACTCTTTTGTGCATGTTGATATGGACAGAGCGTTTTTTGTGACGACTGTGTCCGAGGTTCTTCCAATATCCCACTAAACATGTACGAAAGATCAGGAATCGTGGACTGATTAGTTGCAAGAGTCTAAGTTTTTGAGGACTTTTATATTTCAACTGATATTTTCCAAAAATAGGACTCTAAACGACTAGAGTAAGTCTCATAATCCACATGACTAGGTAAAATGGTTTTGTGAAAGATTATTTTTTGAACAAGAGAATCCGTTCTTGAATGGATTTTCGTTTTTGTTTTCCTAACTTATGCAATATTAGCAAGGTATTGTCTATTTCTTAGATCCTTCAATAATATAAAAAAACTCTTTGCAAAAAGAACCTTGTTTTTGTATTGATTTCTTCTCGTGCAGAGTTGTAGTTATTCTGTAAAGAATTGATAGTTCTACTTGCAGCAAACACAGGAAAAAAAAAGGTGAGAAGTTTGTAGTTTTTAATTTCTTCTCCCATCTAAACTATAATCTTCCATTATGTAATTACTACGAATTTTACTTTAGTTCAATACTTAAATCAGAATTAAATCATGATTTTGTTATGAACAATAAAAATAAACCCTACTTCAATATTTGGCTCTTATAATTAAGGTGGAACAATATTAAATCTTACAACCATCTTAAAGATCTATCAAATTTTTGAAAATCTATCAAATTTTTGTTTGGTTTTTGAAGTTGCTGCATTCGGTTTGGAGTTAAGTTCCCCCGCACCTGGGAATTTACTTTTGGAGGAATTAGTCATGCTTAAATCGATACCAAGAAGAATGTTCTAAATGCTCCAGCCTGGGCAAATATCCGTTAACCATCAGGACTGAGTGGCAATAGCATTTGGATTTCGAGGAAAAAATCAGGAGAAAATGCAAATATGATTCTTGTGTATTTTCCAACGAACTTCTCTTTTTCCATGCAGAAATCTACATCTCCCGATGTTGTCGAACTTCCACATTTCCAAAGCTTGAAATGAAACACTCTCGCACTTGATCAACACCAATTTGGTGTGCGCATGATTCATCTTTTACATTTTGTGACTAACCGACATTGACTCACTGTGCTCAACTTCGGACAACGACGCAGTGTCGGACGTGCGAACGCTGAACTTTAGTGCAGTTGACCTATTACATTTTTCTCCGACTCCGGTGGAAGGGTGCTTGACGTCCGCAACAGGGTTTTAAAACTTGAATGAAACTGGTTGATCTTGAGAAACTTATATGAATCCTCACGTGCTCTAGCAAATGATCAACTCTTGATAGAATTTCAATTCCCGATCCATTTCTTGTTCACCAAAACAGTTCCTTGACAATCGGATACCGCTTGCATTTGCACTTAAATGCTAACTTGTCTTCTGACACACAATAGGAGTGGCATAGTGAGAAAATGGGAGGAGAAATGAATATGGTGGAACTAATCCACATCGATGCACTTGAACACTGCGATCGTGGATAGTAATAAAAGAACAAATGAATTATTTAATATAATGGGGGATGGTGTCCACCTCAGTTCAACTTCCTCACTCCACTATATGTTATTCCTCGGAGATAAAACATGACATATTCTCATTGATTTCGTATTCTTTATGTATATTACTTCAAACTATCTTCCCACTTTGACACCCGCCAGTGTTTCTAGGTATAAAAAACCCCTAGGAAATAATATATAGGTTGAATATAGAACTGGGTGGTCCGGTAATTCTCACTCCATCACTAAGCTTGTTTCTATTCGTCTCAAGACTGAGACAACATGTAACTGAGTTCCAGAATCTGAGCCAGGCTATCGATCGAAATCAAAATCATTTATTGAGCAGGTGAGATCGGGTTTTCGGCCATGTGGAGAAATTTCATTCAAGAGAGGGTAAAGGAACAGGCTGTCAGGTATCGGTCAGATGTGGACCGAATCGATGATGTCCAAAGCCGTGTGATCAATATAAATGAGCAGCTCTATTAATCCAAGCCATGTGCTGATCCAAGTAGAGCGTTTCTTGCTGGGCTGCGCACTTAGAGACCTGCAGGAACAGGGAGTAGTTAAGTCTACTGTTCTAGAGATCAGGGATTGCTTCGTATCATCATTTCTGATACATTTTTCTGATCGCTGCTGTTGAGATTTTCGGAGATTACGAGGGTATCGAGTTTGTCTGTTGTGATGGTGTTGGTGGTAGCATTGTCTATGTTCTGCAGCGCAGATGCGCTGGTTCAAGGGTTCTACAGCAAAAAATGTCCCAACAAGGAGACGATCCTCTTCGACACATTGAAAGATCTTGATGCCAACGACGGGGACCTTCCTCCTATCCTCCTACTTCACTTCCAAGACTGCTTCGTTCGAGTGAGAGGCCTGTCGAGATGTTTAATTCGTCAAGGTTTGTGATCATCGATCATGATATCATACTTGCAGAATAGAAGAATTAATACGATTCGAGGGGCGTAATGTATTTTTGAGTATCTGATTCGCGAAACTTAACGTTGCTCCCTTTTCTGCAGGACGGCGATGCGTCTGTGCTTTTGGACGTTGCTAAGTCGGAGAAGACAGCCGCGCCTGGCGCACGTCTTCTGGGTTTTGAGGCCGTTGAGGCGCTCAAGTCGGCAGTAGAGAGAGCCTGCCCAGGCGTAGTTTCATGTGCTGATATATTGGCATACGCAGCACGTGATAGTGTGTTCCAAAAACATTATGTGTTATGAAAATTGTATCAGAACTATTTTGTGCATGATCTACGTGCTATAGCCTCTAGAACCGTACGAAAGCCTAGGAGGTACAAAGAGCTTTGTTGGAGTTGGAGTTTAATTCTATTGATGTTGATTTTTATTCAATTAAATTCTTTTGGTTGCTGGCAATGAAAACAAGTTTTTTTTTTTGCTCCAATATAGCTTGGTACTACTACTACTTTCCAAATATTGCATTTTGTAGACCATTTGTAAATTGTTCTATTATAATTATTTTTTGTTATTGTATTAATTGTATTTGGCAATAGCATCATCTTCAACAGATCATAGCATTGATTGCATAGATGAGAAAAACTATGGTATATGGATATTTATTATGAAAGACTTGATGCGTATTTGCAAGCTCTACATGCATGCAGATGAGACATTAGAATGTCCTACAGATATTGATAAAAAATTAAAATTGGAATTAAGCAAAGCAAAGCAAAAGAGATATGGGACATATTGGCCAAGATCCACAAGCCCTTGAGAGTTATTATTGACATATTTTTTATAAAGAAATTATGTAATCTTTGATATATGAATGGAGAATCTATGGAGATTTTTCTTGGAGATTTTTTTGATTTTAGAGATCAATATATTGAAGCTGGTCATAAAATAAGCAGATGTAGCATGACATTTCTTACATTTATTGCATTATCAAAATCTTGGGATCTATATGTTTAGTTGATTGCATTGACAAAAAAAAAAAAAAAAAAAAAAATCATTGAAGAGATAGTACAATCTATTGTCCTTGAGGAGGAGATGCAAAAGAAAAAGAAGATTAGTTCTCTATTTTTTGCTTTAATAGTGCTTGCAAGAGGAAAAAAATTCTTAAAGAAAGACCATCTACAATAAAAATAGAAGCTTAAAATTGATAAGTCTAAAAGTATTTATAGGACATGTAGACAAAAGAGGCATTGAAAAGGTGATACAAAATGTCCAAAATAAATAGCAATGGTGTAATAAATATTAGAGTTGCTATTATTCTTTCAACTTTAGTGGCATCATTTAATTCAAAAACAATAATTGCATTGTTATCTTAATCATGGCATTATGTATGTATTAATAATGCAATAGATGTTCACATCCAAAGAGATAGGAATAACCTTCTTAATTTTTAGAAAAATATAACTATCCAACTCTAAGGCTATGATGGTGGCATTAAGAAATCATGAGATTCAAGTAAGCTGCATCTAACAATTTTAGATCCTATAAGAAAATGCATTCTTGTAGTTATGAAGGATGTCCATTGCATACTTAAAGCACATGATATTTTATTATCAGTTGCAACTTAATGTAAGAAAGATTGCAAATTTAACTTCGATGTCAATAGAGTTGATTGATTCTACTTTCAAGTGACTCACTTACATAAAGCACACTAGCTAGTAAAGCTTATCTTATGCCATGTAAAATTGAAGAAGTTACTATAGTTTCTAGTTCATCTATTTCGGATTGTATACCTATTGAATGGCATTGAATATTAGTACATGCTTCAATATATATATATATATATATATATATATATATATATATAATATAGAAAGTAAAGTAGATGAATTATATTAAAAGTTTAAAGATAAAAAGGTATCACGGACATACACATATAAATCAATAATTACCTATATGATTAGATAAAAATAGATTAAAGTAGGTTGATTCCATCATATCTTCTAAAAAAGCTTCTTAGAAGCTTTATAGACACTTCTTTGACTTTATAGATATCTATGATTGACTTTTTAGATTAGAAACATGGTCAACAAGTTGGCCATATATCACACATGTTGGGTAGCTTGAAGAACAAGCTAACTATGTAGCCTATATATAAAAAACTTGCCTTGTAAGCTGAGGCATGTGTCTTGAAAAGCCAACACATTTTAGAGGTCCTATAGAACATCGCCAAGTTGTCGTATTATATTGCATTTAGCTTGAAAATGCACCAGGCATCTAGTTGTCAAAGATAAAGGAAAAATTGTAACAACAAATAATCAATAACAGTAATCGGCTTTGATAATAATAACCAATAGCGGCAACCAGTAATCAATAATAGTAACCAATAATCAATAGCAGTAGCTAATAACTAGGAATAGTAACCAATAACCAATAGCGGTAACCAAAAGCTAATAGTAGTAACCAATATCTTGTAGTAGTAGCCAATAACAAGTAGTAAAAACTAATATCTAGTAACAATAACCAATATTCAATAGTAATAACCAATATCAAGTAGCAAAAACCAATATTCAGTAGTAATATCTAATATTCAGTAGCAAAAATCAATATCTAATAGTAATAATGAATATCCAGTAGCAATAACTAATATCCAATAGCAATAACCAATATCTAATAGCAAAAATCAATATATAATAGCAATAATCAATATCTAATAGCAAAAAACCAATATCTAGTAGTAATAATCAATATCCTGTAGCAAAAAGTAATATCTAGTAGCAAAAACTAAAATCCAATAATAAAACCCAATATCCTTCAAAAATACAAAACTTTAGCACTTAATTTCTTCCAATCCAACCATTGGATTGAGCTCAAAATTTTTGAGGAGCAAGATAATATTCTTAACTTCAAATAGATGATAATCACAAAAATGTGCTTAAGTGTGGATCAGCCTTCTTGTCCAATCTAAATGCTGAATTTCTAGTGCCAATTTCTTCTCATCAAACCATTCAATCAATCTCAAAATTCTCATATATAAAGCAAAAAAAGTCTACTACCCAAATACATAGCTTTCTTTCCAATCCAACTAGTAGATTGTAAGAAATCTTAAAAATCCTCACTAGACCTAAAATTCTACTTTTTCAGTCCTTGATCCACTTAAACCTCAATAACCCTCAATTCAACTATTAAATCTAGTTAAAATTTACAATACATATTAGATGCAACTATAACCATTAATCTACAAAATTTCACTTATAGATCTGTTATAAAACTCTTGAAATTGCCCAAAACATCAATCCTATTTTATTTCACAAAATCCAAGTCATCTAAAAACAAATTCAACTTTGTAAAGCTCTTACAAAGTCATTACAAATCCAAATCACACAAAAATGATGCTCATAGAAACCCTATCTAGTTTGCTTTCAAATCCTATTCTCTAATTAGCAAAAAAAATCCCCAAATTATTGTTAAGATTCAGTTTTGTACATTAAGGTCTGTTTTTAATCCATGTTCATAACTTGCCCTCGCTGGGTATCAATATCTAGTATTTCTAGGTAATTTTTGCTAAAATTTATTCTTAATTTCTTCCAAAAGATGTCTATATTATTTATTTTTTCAATCTATCTTATTTTATCTTATTTTTGGTCCTTCAAAGTAAGTAGAAGCTATTTTTTTAAAAGGACAGTATTACTACTAAAAGTTTTACTACCTTCCTATCTTTCATCTTTATTTTTTTTTTTACTTTATCTTTTACCTTGGTTCTTCTATAATAAGATTCATATTATTATCTTTGACCATATAATTGTATTACAACATGACAATGTAGCTCCTAGTTAGATAGTATATATAGAGGTAAGAATGAAGCTTTCTTCACTTTTGTTAATTCTTTTCTTGCTTCTAGTCTAGATTTAAGAGTTTCTAGTTTTGTTTTCTTTTAGAAATAGCCATTTTAATTTATTTTTAATATACATATTACTTTATTGCTATTTTGTAACTTTTCATTTAACATAGATTTTTTAGGTTTATGCATCTTCTTGTAATTCATGTCCTTCACAAATTGACAAGAGTACACTTATGATATTAGAGCTTTGTCTTCTCTTGATTAAGAGTAGATTATTTCTTATTCTTCATAAGACATAAGAGTATTAGAAGTTGTGGATTACCTTCTTCTAAACTAATATTATTTTTAGTATCTTCTTTGTTCTAAAGTCCCCTCTTTTGCTTGTCTTAAGCAATATTAGATATTTATTTTCTAAATATTATCATAGCAAAGCTTCTTGAAATGAAAAGTGCAATGACACAAATATAAGAGCAATTGAAGGAGTTAATGCTTGTGATGCATCAACTTAGTTTATTACCACAAGAAGCAACAAGAATGGCAAGAAGTGAAGATATAGATATGATTAGAGATGCTTCAACATCTGTATTCAATTATATCCCTTCTCTTATGGTGGAACACCCTTTTGGTATTAGAGAACCAAGAGTTGCCCTACTTGAGAAGTTTGATGGTATAAGCTCTAAGTTTTGAAGATTTATCAATCAACTACAATTTGTGATTGAACTTCAAATCCAAAGCTATCCAACTCTAAAATCACAAGTTAGATTCATTAGTATATTTCTTTCAAGTTTATAATCATCTTGGTTTTCATCTTTTTTTGAACAACAAGATCCAATATTGGATGATTTTGAAGATTTTTTAATAGAGTTTCAATCCATGTATGGAGAACATGATGTGACTTGTATTGCAACCAATAAGATCCATATTTTACAATAATGCAATCAATCTATAACATTATATGCTTCATAATTTTAACAACTTATAACTGATATCAAATAGGATGATGCTACACTTATTAACCAATTTCTCTATAGATTATAATATGAGGTAAAGAAATTGGTGGTCAATTTACTTGATCCTCAAACATTGAGTAAAATATTTGACTTTACTCTGAAGTGTGATAATTGACTTTTCAAATTTTGATGTGAAAGTTGAACAAGTGGACTTCAATGCCACTATAATTCAATGGCAATATTAATGCCTCTTCAATACATACATTCAAAAGTAGAAGATATATAAATTGATGTGGTATGTTTCAAATCTCTTATTGAGCAAGAAAAGATTTATCGCCGTTAGAAAGGATTGTACTTATATTATAGAGATTCTAAACACACTACTTAATATTATCCAAAGAAGCACTATAATTCTAAAATAAGGAGTATAAATATTAAAGAAGACAATATATCAAAAAACGAGTTTGTCCAACTACAATAAGGATTGTGCAAGTGAAACCTTATACAATATCTAATAAAGGTCCTATTCTCTTCTGAGAACCCTCTTCTTGTTTTATATTAAATATTATTTTAGGACCTATACATTACAAAACCTCTACCTTA